AATGTCTATAGAATACACACACCCACACACACACACACACACACACACACACACACACACACCACACACACACACACACACACACACACACACACCACACACACACACAACCCATCTCTATTGTGACAACAGATCTTTTCACAGACTTTTGTTCAATTTCTGAAATTTGTGCTAAGAAACTGGAATGCCGTTCAGGTGTCCCTCCCAGGACCACAAACCCAGCATGTTTCTGGTTGGCCCGAGGAGGCAGGCCACAGGAAGACATCCTCTCATTCTCTGAGGGCTCCGACCTCGAACCGGCCCGCCGTTTCCCCCACCCTCTCTGAGACCTCGTCCCTAGTGTCTGCCTGTTCACGGACCACGGCAAAATGCTGCCCTGCAGGGCCTTGGCGCTGGGGGGAGGCCCTTTGGCACCCAAGGCTGAGCACCAGAGGGCCTGAGTTCTCAGCTGCCTGAGGCCCGCCCTCCTGGTGAGGCGGCCTCCTTCCTGCACACGTAATGGTTGTGTGGGAACTGACCTAGTAACAGGGCCTGCAGGCCGCTGCCGCCGAGCCATCCATTTAGAAGTCAGCGTCTGGCCCAGGGGCCCTGTGCAGGGAAGGTGTGTGGTGACAGCATGAAGATGGCCTCAGCAGCGGCCGGGCGGCCCGCCTGGGTATCCGCGGCCGGGGCGGCCTGCTGATGCCCCTTAGGGTGTCATTAACCCTTGGTGGCCAATTATACATAGAGGCCCAAACACTGATTTTCTGGCTTAGGAATAAAGTAACTACTGATTCAACCTGAGTCTTGGTTTCTCCCCCTAGTTCTCAATGTGCTCATTACCACAAGCAGCTATTATCATCAGAAAGCCTCCTGCTTCACTCCTGGGGTGAGGCGGGGGCATCTGACCTTTGGGTTGTAGCAGTGGTCACGGTCATTTCTTTAACCAGCCCCCTGTTGTTGGATTTTTAGCTTGTGGCCAGTGTTTGCCAGCCGTCCACTGCCCTGTAGTGACCATCGTCACAGCTGCGTCTCACCTCACGAAGGTGGTTCTTTCTCTTTGGTAGATTCCAGGAAATCCAACTGCAGAGCCAGAGGGGCATTGAGTTCCAAGGCTCTGACCCACTTGGCCAAGTTGCCTCGTAGAAGAAGGTGGACAGCGAACCCTCCCACCCAGCTGTGCTCCCCATTTCCACTCGTCACTGCCCTTGTGCATCATCTCTTACCCTGCCTGCACCGGCCTGCTCGTCTGTCTCTGTCCTGTCCCTCTGCTGGGATGTGTCACCAGTGGCTCCCGTTCTCAGCCTTTGTCTGTTGCGTTTTATGTCCCCCTGCATTTCTGGGTGCTCCTTTGGAGTGTGGCTGCGGCCTCTCTGCCTGCATGGACACACTGAGCGTTTTCGGTATGAATGGAGACAAACGTGCGTCTTCAATTCTCGCTTTGAACTATTATTAACTCCAGAGCCTGGGTGTCGGTCTGCTGCCAGCCTTACAAGGGAGAAGGCGTGCTCTCCAGCATCCTTTTGTGGTGCCATACTCACCACACCCTACATGCCGGGGACCCTTTGAGAGGTGCTGTCTCCTTTAGGGAGGGTTCCCCAGCATAGCCAAGTAGGAAAATGTACTCTGAGGCTTTGTATTTACCAGAATAATTTATAAGCAAACCACCCACATCTTGTCCTTTGCATTTTTCATTGCTGTGCAAGGCATCTTAAATTCCTTGGGTAGCTTTTTCCAGAAAGACCAATCGACCTCACTGCATTTCCCAAATTAGAGTGAAGGCCGAGAATCTGAGGCCCTAAGTGAGGACCTGATGATGGAAGCTGGGCGTGGGGGTCAGGAGGGCAGCCTGGGGGACAGGAGGCAGACTCCTGCAGCCACCCGTGGTCCTAGCAGACACCTTCTTGGGAAGTTCCCAAGGTGGATTTGGGGCTCCTCCCACTCTGTGAGAGCCAGGGGCCTCCCTCTGGAATCGTGCCCCTCTCTTCGTCTTCCTCCGCGGCTCGGCCAGCTCTCGGTGCCTTGTGAGGAAGTGTTCACCCATTTCCCAGGTACCAGGTTTGCCTGAGGACCTGAGCCTGCTTACCTCAGCAGGGTTACCTTTCACCAGTAATTCTGGTCGCAGTCTCTTCACGGTTGGTGGCTGGGATTTGGAAAGAGGGAGCCCAGGGCTTGGAGCCTGGGGCTTGGATCCCTGCTCTGGTACCTGTGTGTGACCCCGGGGCTGGGTAACCCGTTTCCTCATCAGTGACTTGACTGTGTCCTCTGTACTGTTGGTAACTCACTGAGGTGCCAGGCCTGGTGTGAGGTGCTGGGATTCCAAATCCGGCCCCTGCGAAAGGGGAGAGATGGACGCAAGGGAGGACCTACGCATAGTGGGCGTTCAGGAAATGGCTCAGGTCTCCTGTGCTTTGGGGCTCCCTGGAGTTCCCTCTGTCTCCTCAACTTTACCCCGGGTGGGTGGAGAGCTCCCCTCGGCCCCCAGAGCCCAGCGGCTCCACGGGACGGTCCTCATCGGGCATGACCGGCTCTGTTCCCCACAGGTCACCTGGATGTCAGCATGGCAGGCACGAACCTGGAGAACCAGCTACACAGCGCACAGAAGAACCTGCTCTTCCTGCAGAAGGAGCATGCCAGCACACTCCGGGGGCTGCACGCGGAGGTCCGGCGGCTGCAGCAGCACTGCACAGGTACCTGGGACGCAGGGAAGGGCCAGGCCTGGCCCCCACTGAGCCGGGCTCCCTGGGGGAGAGTGAGCTGGGAGGGGAACGCTGTCATCCCCGGCAGGCCCTGTGAACACAGGCTTTGGTGCAGAGCTGAAACACACCAGGCAGAGCGCTGTGGAGCGTTTTCTCGGTATGCTGAGGATTTCAGAGAGCTCCACGCCTTGGTTAGAACTGACCACGCATTCTGGAAGTGATGACCGAAACATAGCCTGTGTAATGCACGGAGCAGGCTGCTCCATAGGTTTGGGTTGTCGGCGTGTGTTCTGGGGCAGTGGGGAAAGGGGCCTTTGGGGAAAAGCAGGGTCCCCTTTTAAACTCTAGCAAGTACTGGGGCCGCTGATGCCCTCCGCTGGTCTCACACCTGTCCCCAGTGCTACTAAAAACCTCACCTTTATGAGAATATTTTCTGCATTTTCAGGGCTGATGAACATTTTGAAATACTATCCAAAATTGATGTGTATTATTTGCCTTTTAGATTTAACATATGAGCTCACCCTCAAAAGTTCAGAACAGACAGGTAAGGACTCCCCTCCCCAGCGACGGTCTTGTTCCCTTTGGTGGTGCATGTTGGTACCGCTCGTCTTCCCTGGTTCCACATGTAGAAGAAAACACGTTTCTCTGAATGTGGCCAGGGCCCCCTGGTATTAACAAGTGGTCATCAGTCGGATGGGGGAGAGGGGAGGTGAGTGACTTTATTTTCTTTTGATTGATACATGTATCTGGAATGTCTATTATATATTTTTCTGGAGTTTCGGATTTTTATATAAGGAATATGTGTTGCTTCTGTAACCAGGAAATCAAAATAGGTGTGATTTACACCAAAAAGAAGGAGGCAAAAGAGCAGGTCTGGTAGCGCAGCCCCACCTCCTCTGCATCTCTGGTGCTTGGCCGGCCTGTCCAGAGCAGGTGCTCGCTCTGTGTTGGTCAAGTGAGTGTCCGGGTCACTAGAAACCCACCAAAGGACTGTGCACATCTTTCTCTGGACTGCAGTCCCAGAAACGCTTCCCCCGACCAGAGATCTCAGGACCTCAGGGAACCCCAAAGGGTATCGTCCCGGTGGCAGCTGGGGCAGAGGGGAAAGGAACCTGGGCCTTCCCAGCAGCCTGTGGGTCTGTTGCAAATAGCCTGCTCCCAGAGCAGAGCAGGGGCTTAGCAAGTGCAGAAGCTGTATTTGAGTCAAGATGCCTTTTTCTAAATAGGCTCCATACAGGCAGTTATTATTCATGAGCGTTTCCGATTCCTCATCACCTTGTTGCTGTCAATTCGATTCCGACTCACAGCGACCCTATAGGATAGAGTAGAACTGCCCCATAGGGTTTCCAAGGAGTGGCTGGTGGATTCGAACTGCAGACCTTTTGGTTAGCAGCCAAATGCTTAACCACTGTGCCACCAGGGCCCCATTCTTCATAAAAGACAGGGCGTTTCCACTGAGTTTCAGCACATGACCAAGTGCTGATGTTTTCCATCTGCGTGACAGGTTACGTCTCCCGAGTGCTCCCTTCAGGAGCCAGGACATGGTGTTGACTGTGTGGTAGAGAAGGTCCCACAGGCTTCGAGGGGCCGTGGTTTGTCTCGCTCTGGAGGAAGGAGTTGAGGATGCCTCAGCAGCCCTGGGGCCAGTGCCAGACAGACCCATACACTGGGGAGACTGGGGAGGCTCTGGGAGACAGTCTGGCCATTTGGATTTTATTAGGCAGCAAGGAGCCAGTTTTGAGCAGGGGAGTGAAATACTTGAAGGGATGCTCAGTATTCCTAAGATGGATGGGAAGGGGGAACTGTGGCGACAGAAGACCTGCTGGATCAGGGTCCTGAACAGGAAGGCGGTGAGAGGAGCACACCGAGCAGAGGCCGCAGGGAGCTCAGCAGACATGGCCGGCGTGCACAGTAAGGCAGGAGGAGGGCCACAGACTGGGTCCAACTGAGGAAACAAAGACGCGGGGGGAATGTCTGATGGTCCATCGCACGCAGAATTGGCGCTCCGGAGGCACTGACCCAGGATTTGATGGGAGGGGAGAACTGCAGATCCACAAGGGCGGTCTAGAGAGAAGAGGACGACCTTCACCCATGGGGGCAAGGCCAGGAGGAAGGCCAGCTGGGCGGCGTGCGGAGGAGCCGGTGGGCAGTGCAGGAGCCACAGGCTGGTGACCTGTATGTGACGCTGGGGTCCCGGGGAGCATGCAGGTGATGGCAGTGCTGACATTTGCTGAGGAGCTGGGTTCTGACAGGTGGTGGAACGGGGCAGCTAGGCGGCTGAGGGCAGAGACTCGGCAGGCGAGGGGCGTCCTCTGAGCAAGAAAGGAGGGAACGGGAGAGGAGACCAGCCTCGGAGGGAAGCGACCACCTCACTTACAGCCCCTCGGCCATTTCAGAGTTCTTGTGCTGTAGACATAGAGAACTCTTCTTATGACTGACTGCCTTTCAAACCAGCGCGTAACAGGTGCCCCCTTGTGGGCGCATAACAGGTGCCCGCTTGTGGGCGTGTAACAGATGCCACCTGGGCAGACAGATGGCCTCGCCGACAGTCCTAAACACCCGGTAAGGTCTGAGTCTGAGAGTGCCTGTTTTGACTTTAGCCTCTCGTAAATTTCATTGAGACGTTGTTTTCTGTAAGGAGCCAGAGAGCTAAGAGCTGGAAGGGGCCTCAAAGACCCTCTGATCTCCCCCTTTCAGTGGGCAAGAGGGGAAATGGAGGGGGACGGGGCCCATGTCTCCCATCATTGAGGGGAGATGGAGCCACTGACTCCACTGTGGGAGCACCCCCACACCCCGCTTTATGTGGCCTCAGAGCGCCCACCCCCCAGGGGACGGGAGGGCAGCCCAAGAGGGCCCCGGCCCTCTGCCCAGAGGTCTTCCTGTCTGCGCAGGCCTGACGCTGATGACCCACGGGTCCTGATCCATGCCCTTGCCTTGTTCTTCTAGGGGATGGAACGTCCAGAAGCACTGAACTAAAGAAAAGATGTGAAGAACTGGAAGCTCAGCTGAAGTCCCAGGAAGAGGAGAACACGGAGCTGCTGAAGGAGCTGGAGCAGAAGAACGCCATGATCCTGGTGCTAGAGAACACCATCAGAGAGCGGGAGAAGAAGTACCTGGAGGAGCTCAAAGTCAAGAGCCACAAGCTGAACATGCTGGCCAGTGAGCTGGAGCAGCGGGCCGGTACCATCGCCTACCTGACCTCGCAGCTGCACGCTGCCAAGAAGAGGCTCCTGAGCTCCAGCGGGACCTCGGAGGCCAGCCCCTCCGGCAGCCCCTCCGCCCAGAGGTCAGTGCCGGCCAGCTACAAGCCCGCCCCGCCCAAGGACAAGCTGCCCGAGACACCACGCCGCCGCATGAAGAAGAGCCTCTCGGCCCCCCTGCACCCCGAGTTTGAAGAGGTCTACAGATTCGGGGCCGAGAGTCGCAAACTCCTCTTGCGGGAGCCCGTGGATGCGATGCCCGACCCCACTCCGTTTCTGCTGGCCCGGGAATCGGCCGAGGTCCACCTCGTCAAGGAGCGGCCCCTCGTCATCCCCCCCATCGCTTCGGACCGTGGTGGCGGTGGCGCCAGCGAGCAGCCCAGCCCAGTGCACGACAAGAAGGCGCACGTGGGGGTGGCCCACCGCATCCAGCACGCGGCCCAACCGCCCACGCAGCCCGAGGTGGAGACACTGGCGGTGGACCAGGTGAACGGGGGCAAGGTGGTGCGCAAGCACTCAGGGACGGACAGAACTGTGTGACGCCAGCGGCACTGTGACCCGCGAGGACCCACTCAGCCACGCCTTTCTCCTCTCCATCCCCATGCATGCCAGGTCCTTCTCAGTCCCACCCACAGATGTCCCCCGCTTCTCTTGCCCTTTACTGACACCTCAATAGGATGTGTCCTCACTGCAGAATACCTATCTACTCATGCTGTGGCCACGTGCCTGTGTACCGAATCGCTTGCTTCTAGCACATCGGGTAGCCCAGGCGCACTCGTGGACAGAGCGCAGGCCACGGCCCGCCATCCCGGGCCTCGTGCGTGGCCAGGTCAGAGCACTCCTCAGGTCCCTCCCCTTGGTCTCCAGGGCGGCCCATCTGTCTGTCTGTCCAGCAGCCCTGCTCCCCGAGACCGTCACCCCCACCCCGGGCGGCACTGATGACGCAGCTGTACATGTATGTCTCAGGAGCTCAATAAGACAGTTATTCTCCCACCAGACCTGAATGTGTGTTCATATTTTTTGTTAGTTTGATCCAAAATGTTCAAGATCCCAACAAACTTTATTTTCTAAACCTGCCTTATTTCTGTTTTGTGTCTTTTATTCATCCACTAGGGAGAGGGCAGGGGGCCCCGCGGAGGAGATGAGGGGGAGAGAAACTTACTGCCTTCTGGCCAAGAGGCACGGCTCTGGGGCACAGTCCTCTGAGGCGGTGGTTTCTCTGCCCGAGAGCGGCAGCTTCATCCTCCCTTCCCTTTCCCACTAGCCATTCCTCAGCTCCGCTCGCTCTCCTGGTGGGAGTCATTTTCTGGCGCTCAGCCTGCCTCTGTCCCTGCCTGCAGCCGGCCTGGATGGGGCTTCTGGCTTGCCCAGTGTACGCGGCCACAGCCAGGCTACCCCACACAGGCCCAGGAAGGCTGGCCAGGGGCAGGGAGTTCTGGAAGGGGGACGTGGCCGTCCAGCCACCCCTGCTGCAGCCCAGCCGGCCCCGCCCTCAGCCTGGGCCAGGTGTCTGCCCCACACCTGAGCGGACTGAGCACATGAGATGCGCCTTTGGAAGTCTCTCTACGCGAGGATTCTCAGCTGTGCCAAGGATGCACCCGGCATCTGTGCTGAACCCAGTGCTTCCTCCCAGGAAGAAAAGGAAACGTGACACATTTTACAGTGCTCAATAGCGTTTACTTTGGATACACACAATCCTAACGGGCAAAAAACAGTTTAAAATCATTCAGGTTCACTTCTAAGAGAAGCGATTACAGCTGCTGATTTCAAGTTCAAGGGCAATGAGTTATCCAGCCCTCCTGTCTGCACACGTGCACCTGTGCAGGCCCTGAGAGACGTTCCTCAGGCACCCCAGAGCCCCACAGGCAGCCGCAGCAGAGGCCGGTCAGCCTTCCGGCCACAGGGCTAGTCAGAGTTCAGGGTGAGGCACACGCCTTGCAGCACCCAGTGAGAGATGTGCCGCGTGGTGAAGAGATCGGCTTCGAACACCAAGCCCACTCCCATGGCGTTCCTCCTCATGGAGGTGGTGTAGACGGGTGTCCGGAAGGTGTTCTGCAAAGGAAGAGCACCCCGTGGGTATGGATCCAGGGACGCTCCTTACTGGAGAGGGAGGGGGGTGTCACCTGAGTGCTGAGAATGCAGGGCTGAGGCTCTCCAGGGCACTTCAGCTGGCTCACCGTGGCCAGGACTTGACACAGACACGCGCCTTACCAGTGGGTCCTGGCTGAGGTCCACACCCGATAGAACCACTTTCTGATTCAAGCAGTTCCCAAAGAATTTCCCAAGAAGGGGGAGAGTCTCTCCTGAGGTTGGTCTAGACCATGTTCTGGAGTTGAGTCTGGGGCACCTCTGGCAGGACCTGCTCTCACACGTGTGAGACTTCCCCAGTCCAGCAGAGGTGAGAAGCCCCCGTGTGAGACACCTCCGCCCCCACTACAGTCAGGAGAGAGGACACGGTGCGCGCCAGAGGCCCAGCTCTCACCTGCAGTTTGAGGCGGTGGGCTTCGATGGGGATAATCTTCAGAATGGGCAGGTCGACCACCAGCACCTTGGGTTTGCTCTTGACGAGACAGCCCCTTTCTATGTCCCAGTCTGCACCTTCTAGATACAGGCCTGAGACGAAGCAGCCTAGAGACAGCAGGAGGGACCCGGGTTCCACCAGACGCGCGTGCCCAACCAGGGTACCCGGCTCTGCTCCCCAGGGGGCCGAGGTCGTTTTCCCCAAGGGCAGAGGCCCGGACCCACCCACAGCCCAGGGGCCTCTACAGCCCACACGGCCCGCCCCCCGGCCACAGCGGAGTGGACGAAAGGTGCTCCCTCGCTGGCTGGCCTGTCCGAGCCTCCCCCCAGGACTCTGGCCTTAGGGGCCACAGATGCAGTCACACACCCTGGGCACGCCAGCTTTGAGGGTGAGAGCTGACACCATGGCACCCCAAGCCCCTGCAGGCAGAGCGACAGGGGTCTCTGGGGAGCAGAGCAGATGTACAGACAGAGGCAGAGAAGACGGGGCAGCCCAGATACCGGCCAGCTCCTCTGAGACCAGCTGACTCCTGCGGCTGGGACCTGAGCTCTCCGGAGTCCATAAACCCCTCTCCTCCAGCCAGCTTAGGAGGGCTCAGTCCTTGCAGTTAAATGGCCTTGGACGTGGACACCCGGCCCCGAGGAAACAGCCATTTCCAGCTATAATGTGCACGCTCAGTAACCGATGTCCGCGGGCTTGAAGTTAGTGTGTAACTAATGGTTCCTACCAAGTTAACCCATATCCCTCTCTGGCTCCAAAGTCCTGGCCCCTCGGGCTTTACAGGGAAGCTGCCTGGCAAGTGAATTCCCTGAAAGAGCTAAGTGGGACCTAGCATCCCCTTTCCCACACATCGGTGGGGGTAAACGTGGGTTCAAGTGTCCCCTGGCATCAACCCCAGGCCTCATCTTGATCGGTCATCCCTCAGAGATGGCAAAACACGGCTGTGCACAGCCAGCAAACCCTGGCGGCAGGCTGGTGCGCCCCGTGTGCGCCCTGAGCCCAGGAAGCTGTGGCTCTATACGCTGCGGGTACCTTGTCCTGCCCGCTCGTTCACTTCGTCTGCGTCCTGGAACTTGGTCACCTGTGTGAACAAGGTGGAGCGGTCCAGTGGCCAGCCGTTCCTCCGGCAGGTGGCCTGCACCAGCGCCGTGAGGTAAGACTCTGGGATGTGCAGGCCCGAGAGCCACATCACACCGGGCTCACCCTCCGTGACCTGCAGGGAGGAGAGGGCAGCTAGCGGGAGCGGAGGGGCTGCCACCAACACCAGGAGAAAGCTGAGCCCAGAAACTCGGTTTATTGTAATAGACACGCTTCGCCTCAGTAGAGAAAGGAAGGTGTCCGAACAACTGGAAGCCCACTTGGAAAAGAAAAGCTGGCTCACCAAATTCCAGATGAATCAAAGATTTAGATACTAAAAAAAAAGCCATAGAAGTACCAGATCAAATCTCAAATGAATTCTTTCAAAATCTCGGAGTGGGTAATACAAGAAACAAACCATAAAGTAAAAGACAGATAAATTTGACTCCACCAAAATTTCAATCCTTTCTACGGAAATAAACACATACGATAAAATCAGAAGATCTGTAACAAGCTGTGGAAAATACTTGCAACACAGGCAGGCAAAGGGATCATTTCCTTGCTATACAAAGAGCTCTTAAAAATCAATACAGAAAAAATGAAGAACTCAATAAAAATAAACACAGGATATGAAAAGACAATGCACAGAAAAAGAAACATAAAATGTCTATAATTATATACAATATACTCAGCCTCACTGTGATCAAAGAACTGCACATCAAAACAAATACTACTTTTCTACCTATCAGAGAGACAAAGATCCAAACTAGTAAGAATACGCATTGCTGCAGAGAGGTGAGACAATAGTCACGCTCACACACTGTAGTTTCAGCTTCTCTAAGAGAATCACCTGACAAGAGCTCTCTGACTTTAAAATGCACATGCCCATTGAACGCAACTCTTGTACTGCTGGGAACTTAACCGTGGGACACTGTGGAAGGGGGCAGCCCAAGGCAGCCCACAATGAACCTTAAGACCAGGTGTATCGACCCAGCTGCTTGGACAGGAAGAGAGTGTGCGCTTGGGCTGACTTGACCCAAAACACACCCTATCAGCACATCCCTCCCCTCTTGCCCTGAACGCGTCAACATCCCCAGGAACTGCTTAGCTAAGGGTGTGCGTTATGTGGCACCTGGCCAACCTCACTTCTCTACCTGCTCCCGCTGGGGAGGGAACAGAGTCCTTCTCCTGCAGCACAAGAGGGGTACATGCAGACCCTTGCAGTGACCTGCTGGCCACAAGAGACCAACGTCCACTGCTGAAGCTGACCTTACTGTCCGTGTGTGTGAGTAAAGCCCTGTCCCAGCCCTGCCCTGTGTGTGGGTGTGCCTTTCCTGGCGACCTCGACACCTGTGGTTGTGCAGTGGGCTACCATCCTCCGTGTGATGGGGCCTCTCCCCAGAGGTAGGTACCGGTGTCACGTTCTCGGCAGATACACTCACATGGGTATCCAAAGACATATGCACGAGAATGGTGTCTGTACTAACAAAAATACGGTAACCCTCTAAATGTCCACCACTAGGGGACAGAATATGGAATATATGTAAAATGGAAGTGCTACCAAGAATGAGTTGGATCTCTATGTACTCATACAGAACAACTGCCAAGATGTGCTCCTTGATGAATAAATCACATTGTACATGGTATGCTTCAAAGTTTTAAAACAAAAAAAGGGAAAAGAAAGATACGGATATGCTAATAGAATCAGAGACCATTGCTAGAATGCCCAATACACTGTTGACAGAGGTTACTGTTGGGGAATGGGAACGGGGGGCTGGGAGGTATTTTAGGGGGTGCAGGCTGAACCTTAAACCAGCAGAGACAGCCACTGCCTTCACTCACCCATGATGTGTACTGGCTGAACCGGCGCAGGAAGTAAACCATCCAGTTTCCAAGGGTCTTTAAGGTGTCAGGGGCAAGCTTTCTCCAGATATTCGGGATTTGCCCAATAAAAAGCGACTTGGCTACATCATCTAACTCGTTGCTCATTCCGACTTCTCCAGCCAAGGCCTGTTTCCAGAACCAAGAGAAGTCAAGAGAGACTATACTCAGAAACCAGGCACCACCCCCAGGCCGCCGTGTGCCCAGCGAGGACCCACTCACCCTCTGCAGTTCAGCCAGGGACCTGGACATCCGGATCACCAGCTTGTTGAAGCGCTCCAGCTCCTGCAGGAGCACCACTGAGGTGGGGGAGATGCCCACCCCAAGGTGCTTCCGGACCTGGTCCATGTCAAACACTTTGGGCATCTTGTTTTCGATGTCCTTGGCCACCTGGCCAATGTAATCATCGCGGCTGATGCCACTGCTGGATTCCCCTGCAACCAGGACACTTTTTAGAGACAGCAAAGCCCCTGAGTGTGGGATGGGAGCATTCTGAGCCGTATGGCTCTTGGAAGAGATCAGCAATGTGGGAAAACTATAAAACCAAAATGGAGCCCTGGTGGCACAGTAGTTAAGAGCTTGGCTGCTAACCAAAAGTTCAGCAGCTCGAATCCGCCAGCCACTCCTTGGAAACCCTATGAGGCAGTTCTTCTCTGTCCTGTAGTGTCGCTATGAATGGGAATTGACTGGACGGCAATGGGTTTTACGGGACCAAAACAGCAGCGCTTTGAGCTAACAAGCACTAGGCCCTAATCGAATTGCTATTTGGAAAACTCAGTTAATTGGAAAGGGCTTTACCAGTCTGTGGCTGCAGCTCCAGCAGGTGAGCCCACATGTCGCGGGCTGCCTGCGTGTAGTACCCAATCTCAGCATTGGGGTGCAGACCAAACACCTCGGGCGTGTTGGCGAGAGGCAGTGCCTCGATGGCTTCTACATGACAGAGAACACAGAGAGGCCACATCTTCAGGCTGCCCTCCATCTCCAGGGCCACTCCTCCACATCCCCAGACGCATAAGACTAAGTGCCATGGTTTAGTGGGTAAATGTTTTTAAACAAAAATTCTACACACACACAGACACAGACACACACACAGACAGACACACACACACACACACATGCCACCCAGCTGTATGTTTCTCTTTGATGTAAATGGCTCCATGGGCTTCTCCTGGGCCACTATGGCCATCCAGGGTGGGATCCGGTATGTTTACCATCATTTGAGAACAAGAAATCTGGGCTCACTCTGTCAGCACTAAGGCTGGAGGAGCCTGCTGGGCCACCTACAAGGTCTACCAGCCACGCCCAACCAGCCCAGGGGTTCACCTGGAGAGGGGTCCAAGGAGCTATCCAGCCAACTGCAGAAAGCAAAACCGGTGAACTGGTCTCACTTAGAAAAACCTTAAAAATAGTTCTTAATGTCTGAGAAATCTCACCTACGTATTTTTCCTTTATATCACCCGGGGGGATTTTATAGTCCACTTCTTTGTTCCTGAAGAAGTGGAATGGTTGGAAAGTATCAAAAATGAAATCTCCCAGGTACTCGTCCATGTAGATGGTCAGGATGCGGCGATCAAAGCTGTCAATGGCCCGTCCTCCATACATGACCTGAAATGACCGATGGTGAGGGCTGGCCAGGAACGCCAAGCCAACCGGGCAGACCTTGAGGTTCCAGGGCCCAGAGGATTCGCCCAGGGTCAAGACCATGTGCACCCCCAGTGATACCCCTGCCGGCCTGGCCACTGCGCATCTCCAGCCACGTTGACGCACATGACCTGTTGGCCCAATGCGTACACGAGGGCTTGTTCACAAAATCACACCACGGCTTTCCAAGGGACAGTGCCCAAAGGGACAGACAGCCATTGTGAAACTCGGGGAACCAGTGTGCAATTTGCAAAATCCCCCCAAAATACTGAACAAGCTAATAACAAAACAAAACAACCAAAGATGCCAGCAGCCACTCTGCACTCTGGATTTGGCAATGCTACTATCTCACATACTTTGGACATGTTATCAGGAGGGATAAGTCCCTGGAGAAGGACATCATGCTTGGTAAAGTAGAGGGTCAGTGAAACAGAGGAAGACCCTCAATGAGATGGACTAACACAGTGGCTGCAACAATGGGCTCAAACACAGCAACAATTGTGAGGATGGCACAGGACCAGGCAGTGTTTTGTTCTGTTGTATATAGGGTCGCTATGAGTTGGAACCGACCTGACAGCACCTAACAACAACACTGTTGGAACAATATGCAAGCACCAAGGGAAGCCACCCCATGAGTTCTGTGTGAAGTGTGGTCTCCAGGGTGGACCTCCATGCCCGCTGACCAGGAGGAAGACACTGATGGTGGGCCTAAGGTATGGCCAGGTCCTGCCAACTCCTAGAAGACACCGGGTGTAACCCAGGGTCACTGAGTCCAGCTGCAGGGAACCTCCCTGTGAATGAGCTCATGCAGGAGAAGAACAACTGGGGGTGAACGGGAGTGTTGCCAGGGCCCCAGGGGCTCTTCACCTGAGGGGAGCAGGAGCAAGAGGGGGCTCCCTGAGGAGGCCAGAGATCACAGAAATGGGCACCAGGGCCACAGCCCAACTCCAGCCCCCAGGGGGCCTCCTGGAGAAGGGTCCCCAAGACACCCCTACCTCTCCAATTAGGTACTTGAGGCTGGCCCACGGGATCCTAGGGTCATTTTGCTGAAAGGCTTTTGTTAAGTACGTATTCAAAATTTCCATGCAGACCTTAAGAGAAGAGGAACAGGCTGGGTTACACTAACACCTACAAAGACATTCACATCCCAACTCCTCTGTGAACGTCAACAGGAACAACTCTGGTATAATTGGACCCGGGAAGAAAGGGCAGGCGTGAAACAAGCCTGCTAAGGAAGCAGTTCCCCAGGGAGGAGACGCAGTAGCAACGCATTTTAACCTGGAAGTCAGAATCGTTGAAGTCGTAATACACGTTCCATCCAATCTTCCCAAACTTTCTTCTTTCCTGCACCACCGCATGGAAAAATGCCAGCACATAGACCAGGGACTTGAACGCCGGGTGTGGGCACTGCTCCAGCATCTCATGAGAGATCTTGAAGTAAGTTGCTCTCATGTTGAGTTTCAGCCCATTGGGTGGTTCCGTGACAACCTGTCAGAAGAGAGGAAGGCCAAGCAGACCCCTAAGCACAGCTCTGAAGAGCGTGAGTAATGTGGACTTCTTGGGTTTTTCCTTCGTCTTCACATAGCAGTCTCTCCTATTCCCCTGAGAGCAAAATTCTCTTCCTCAGGGCCCAGATGAACCAGTCAAAGAACGAGAGTTAGTCCTAGCCCTGACCTGGCTTGTCAGGTGAGCCTGAGAAGGCTTCCTAACCTCTCTCTGAACTCTGAAATCCTAAACTCTAAATGACAGTAGCTAAGTCTTCCCTCTACAACCCCAGAGAGAGTGATGGAAAACCTTTCCCAAAAGAACTCCCTGAAGAATAAATTAAATGAGGCATACAAACCACCTGAAACTTCTGTACGCAACTGCTGAATACTAGCTGTGGGGGAGCCTACAATAATACGTAAAAGAGGAAGATTAATATATTGAAAATACATGACCACTAACCTACATATGGTTATGGATACCTGCATAAGTGCTAATGACATGCATGGGAATTAGAAACACCCAATTCAGGACAGTTTCACCTCCAAAGACAAAGGAAGACATGGGGCTGGGAACGAGCACTGTGTCGGGCTGAAGAGTGTCCCCCTAAAATCCATGTCCACCCAGAACCTGTGAGTGTGGTCTCGTTTGGAAACAGGGTCTTTGTAGGTGTAATGAGGTTAAGACGAGGTCATACTGGATTCGCGTGGGCCCTACATTCAATTTAAAAAGGGAAATTTGGACAGAGACACACAGGGAGAAGGTCATATGAAGACGGAGGCCGAGACTGGAGTCATGAATCCACAAGCCAAGGAACGCCAAGGGTTGCTGACAACCACCAGGAACTGGGAGGGGCAAGGAACAGATTCTCCCACAGAGCCTCCAGAAGGAACCAACCCTTGATCCCAGGCTTCTGGGCTCCAGAACTGTGCGAGAATACATTCCTTTGAAGCCACCCACTTTGTGGTAATTTGTCACAGGAGCCACAGGAAACCAGTACGGGTCCCCTGAGGTTGCTAAACACAAACACACACATACACATGCTTGGCGACATGATAATGGTCTAAGAAACTGGGCTGTGAGTATGTGGGCATCTGTCCAACGCCAGACCTTTAAGGACTTCTGCAGAATCCCAATGGGGAAGCCCTTGGTGGGGTCTGTGGTGAGCCACAGGCGGAAGTCTGGGTGAGGCTTGGTGATCCTCTCCAGGGACTTCTCCAAATCTTTCAGCCACTTGACCAGGAGGTGGCAGTTCTGCAGCATCAGCCACTGTCCACGCGCCACCGCCGTCTCCAGCAGCTGCAGCGCCACCTGCGCCAAGGGCAAAGAGAGGGGAAGAGTTGGCGTCTCAAAGCCACGCCCGCCATGCTCTCCCGGAGACCGTCCTCAAGCCCACGGAACCGTAACGGCCCGTCAGAGGGAGCCACAGAAGCTGGTGCTCCAGGAGCTACAGTGGGGCCTTCAAAGACAGTGTTTAGGATTCCTTGGGGGCCACTGGTATTCGCCGGGCTGGTCACAGCCAGCGAGCAGTGAGCGTACGGCTCTCCTCTGGCCTCCCTCAGCCCAAGAGCCCCGACTCCTCCAGCGCAGTCAGACCTGCACCCTGACTACCCTATGACCACCCCGTGAAGCAGCGCTGCAAGAGACAAGCTAAAACCCTCCAGCCAGCAGGTACTGCCCTAGCCATCTGAGGATCTTCAAAGGCCTCAAGCGTGGAAAGCGGCCACATGTCCCTTCTCACGTGTGTGGTCGATTCTCATGATCCACGGTAGGTGTGTTCTATGAAGTCGCTGCTAGCGCTGATTTAACAAAATGGAGCCATTGCTCCAGGGGAAATGCAGGCTTAGGTTCCCACGAGCCTCCGGTGGTCACTGCGTCTGTTAGCCCATCAATACATAACCTTGCTTCACGCGTTTCTGTTTAAAGACGCTGTTTAACAGACACTGCTGACTCTTTAATGGCCTATAGCACAGCGTCTCAAGCCCGAAAAAAGCTTATTGAAGACACGTATTTTCTGTGTAAGGCACATCACAGCCGTCTTGCACTCAGAACACCAGGCAGCACTTCAGCTCTACACTTGGGGCCATTTCAAACAAGGAAATCACCAACAAAAAGCATAAAAATGCAAAACACACAGGACTTTAACAGACGATAAAAAAGACACCCATTTACAGTCTGAGAGATGAGACAGGAAGGCAGAGTGTCGCCATGTTCAACCTCAGCTGGGAACGTGCCTCGGGCTCTGTGCGTGTCCTCGAATGACTGTGAGAGTTTCACGAGCATTCACTTTGAGGTTACAAATCAATTTGAGGGAGCAGGCACATTCACAAACACGCAGTGTGCGAATAATGAGGCTAGACTGTAATTCAAAGTGAAAACAAGCTAAACACTCAAATAAAACCTTGGTTTCCACCTTGCTTAAAACTTACACGAGTGCTGAAATTGAAACAGCTTCTTTGGGGTTTGTGCTGTGAGGCAGCCGGCTGTGCCTTGCTGGGCCCTCAGCTCGCCCCCAGGGCGACTCAGCACCAGGCCTCTGGGCCCCATTTCATGGCTCCCAGCAGTGGGGGCCTGCACGGGGCCCCACAGAGGCTCCCTCCCTCTGCCCAGAGCCCGCGTGGCCGACCACCACGCTTCCTTCTGCAGACTTTTCCTGCCGTCTGTCCCACTGTGTCTGACGACGCACAGCCAGTGACAGGTTCACTGCGCCGTGTGGACAGGCAGGCCGTGGAGAAGCGAGCGCCTGGACCCGAGGACAGGTGGTTCCGTCTATGCCACCTGGGCCGGGGCTTGGCCTCCTCACCCCACGTCCTGGGCCACACAGCTGGGTAACGACAATCTGACCCACCACGGGGCTGCTGCGAGGACGCGTGCAGGAGTGACAATGATAGTGACTGCAGGTGAAAGGGCTGTGAGGACAGCAGAGCATGTGCAAGGCTGTGAGGTCACAGTTTAGATCCAGGACCACAGTATCATTAGTACCATCATTGTCTGCACCTCTGATCACTGCTCCGTAGATGGGAAACGCATCCAGCTTATGTGCAGGGCCACACTCTGAGTGTCGCGCCAGATGTCAGCTCGTTCCTGACAGAGGCTGGCACCTCACCTTCTCTTGACCTTGACCCATGGCAAGGAATTTGAGGCGGTTTCCTCCAAACCCGGTGCGCTCGGCCAGTTTCATGAGATCGCTGGCAGGGTCAGAGCCGGGACTCAGGATGAACACGATGGGCGAGTTTGGAGTGCTCTGCTCAAAAATGGCTTCAAAGCTGATCATCGGGGGCTGCACGTACCTGGTGACGGAAGCAGACGGGGGAAGGGGCCACCGGTCTGCTCGGTGCCCTCTCCTTGGGCACCCAGCCCCCTCTAACCATCACTCCTGCACAGCTCTGGCATGGACTCCTGATGTCACCGTCAGCTTTGACACTGTCTCCCACGCTGGGGCCTCTCTGCGCCCCTCTAGCCCAGCTCGGAACATGGGTGTTGGGGTTAGTAGATTTATTCTGGCCCCTGACTCACCGGCCTTCCAGGTGGACACCCCCTTGACACCCCCACAGATGTGTCCTGAGTGGCCCACATCTAGGGATTTTTAAAAATTTTTTTAATTTTTAATTATAAACATTTTTTAAATTACTTAAAATTTTTTAATGTTTAACACATAAAAGTCAGAAGATTTCTTGTAAAAATCTCAAATTTCTAGTCCCTTTTGCAGAGTCAGAGGCTCTGGCCACTCTGGGCCCCACAACGTCCCCTGCTATCCTCGGTCAGCAGCAGTCAAGGGGCAGCCGCCCCCGTGGATGGGGACTTGGCCTTGCCAGCTTACCATGGTCCCACCCAGCCTGACACCCACAATGAGGGGCATTTGAGTTTGCAAACTAAGCTTTCTGTCTGGCTGTGCGCCTGACTCTAGAGCTGCATCCAGTATGGGAGCCACCAGGCCCATGTGGCTACTGAGTACTTGCTATGTGGCTCGTCCAGATGGAGATGGGCTGTAAGTGTGAACCCACCTAGGATATGAAGACTTTATATAAGAAGAGATTGGAAAATATCTCACTAATTATGTTTATACTGATTACATGTTGAAATAACATTTTAATATATGGAATTAATTTCACCTGTTTCCTTTTTTTTAATGTGGCTACTGGGAAATCTGAAATTACATATGTGGACCACACTGTATTTCACTTGGATGGGGCTGGTCTAGGTGGTTATCAGATAAGGCAGGGCTGGGACAGCTGTCTCAGGAGCTGGCTGTCCATGGCTGTCTGTGGGTCCAGGTGGGGTGGCTGAGAGTCTACCCCGCAGAAAGGGTCAAACAAACACAGACAACTCACTCACTTCTCTCCCATTGTTACAGTCACGTAGTCCGTCACTGCCCGATACACCCGATCCACACGGAAACAGCGCAGAATAAGCAACTTCTGGAAAGGGGTGATGTTTTTGTCATAACCCAAGGGGAAAGGAACCTGCTCGAGCGAATCCAGGTCGTACCACTGGGGAAAGCAAAGAACATTCATTGTGGCATCCATTTGGGAATGATGTAAGCTCCAATTTTATGTGAAGGTCTCAAAGGCCACTGTAAAGGGATGTGAATCTATAGAAGTATGAAGCTCAAGGCTACTTCTGGTTGGATCTGTCGATTTCTACCCCCAAAATTATGAACTTCAGGGAGAGAGGGACTGAGTCTTATTCACTGTTGAGGCCCCACTGCCCATCAAAGGACATGGCTCATGGTAGATGCTCAGTAAGTACTTTTGGATGGACAGATGGTTAGATAAATGGATGGATGGACAGATGGATGGCTGGCTCTCCCACACAGCTGGATGAACCAGATAAAGGAGAATCCCACCCGGGGAGTTCGAGGGCGCTGATCACACCCTAAACGCATAGGGCTATCTTCACTCAGGAGGGTTGAAGCCAAAGTTTAAGTCTGGAGATGGTTGTGGGGTCGGGAAGGGGAGGGGGGGAAAAGAGAACAAACTAGAGCTCACATCCTGCCAGACAGCCTGGTGTTTCTCAACATCATCAGGAAGACTCCCAAAGTCCTGGGAAAACATTTCTGATAGAAGAATGATATCTTCCCATCCCTGGTCGGACAGCCAGGCACAGGGCTTTTTTCGTTTGCTTTTCTCCAGGGAAATGTTTCCTAGTCACAGAGAAGAAGAGGCAGAAACAGCCATTGTGCTGCTGACCCCAGACACGGGAAAGGGTAGAGCCGCTCATTACTCTGATGTCTCTCACTCAGGGGAACGTCCACTTCCCAAGGAGACTGGGGAGAGGAGAAGAAATGGGCTTGTCCGTGTCACGGCCCGTGACTCCAACCAGTCAGCCTGGGGCAGCTTCCGACCTCAGGGAGGCCTTAGACAGAGGCAGGTTGCGCTAAGTCAAACTAGGTCCATTTCTGAAACTGGATTTGTCAACTGAAAACTAAAACCCATTGCCATTTAGTCAATTCTGACTCACAGCGACCCTGTAGGACAGAGCAGAACGGCTCCATAGGGTTTCCAAGGCTGTGATCTTTACGGAAGCAGACTGTCACATCTTTTTCCCGGGGAGCAGCTGGTGGGTTCAAACTGCTCACCTTTCAGTTAGCAGCCATGAGCTTTAACCACTAAAGCAGCTCTCTTGGAAGTCAAATTTTAAGGAGAAATTTTGTTGACACTGTTTAACAACCTTATGCACGTGTACAACGTGGGTCAAGGAAGTCGGGAAGAAAGCAACTAGGCGAACCCATTACCTTTTAAAAAGAAACCTAATTCTTCTTGGGGCACTCTCCCTTCTGCTTGCTCTATCTTGATGGTCATGTTGAAAGAGAAGAGTAACTTGTGCTTCTCAAACAGCCCTGGCAGGAAACATCACATGGGTAGTGATTAAAAGGTATATATATACATATATACACTTACAAAACTAATTTTCGGCTGTACAAAATGCTAACATTTAAAAGAAATGAACTAAAACATCCAAACGGCATGGCTGCATTTAGTCCTCTTGGCATTTGATGTCAACGGGTGTGAAACGTGTGGGCTCCATTGAATGGTCCTGCCAACAGTGCTGTCTGCAGTGACTGTCACTCCGTATCCGAAATGGCGTTTCTGCATGACGTGCTGACCACCCTGCCCCGGAAGAGGACAGCAGGGCCGGAGAGCAAGTGGAGGACAGGACACTAGAGGTCTAGCGCCACCTTCTCAATGAAGACCTGGTCGTCTGCTCACCTGTACACCCATAGTTATAGATGTTGAAGGTCAACGTGTCCATGATGTTCCTTAATCGCTTCATGAGAATGGAATCAGGCAAGGACTTCTTCAGTGACAAGCCAAAGACCTCTAGGAAGGCGATCAAGGAGTACTGGTACATGGAGTTGACCAGGGCCATCTCAGACAGGATGAAGAAGAGGATAGCTCCCCTCCTGGCGGCCGGCCGGTAGCCGTCTCGCAGCCTGTCAATGTCCAGGGCCGTCTTCTCTGCCAGCTTGAGCTTCTCTGACACCTAGAGCGAAGGCGCACGTCACAAAACAACCTGTTCTGTATGAAAGGTACTGCCAGATGGAAACAGGAACGGCTCATGAAATGGCAACGTGAGAAGGGGGTGGGATGGGGGCAGCCAAGAAATTCGTGCAATGCTCACAGGCGTCTGAAAGCACCTGGGACAGGACAGGGCCAAGAGCAGGGACCCTCTTGGGGGATATGGTGGAAATCTGTGGCTTGACTCCTGGTATGCATTGAATCGTGTCCCCCAAAAAGACACGCTGAAGTCCTAACCCCTGTATCTGTGAATGTGACCTTGTTTGGAAATAGGGTCTTTGAAGATATAAGCAGTAAAGTTAACATGAGGTCATACTGGATAGAGTGAGTCCTAATCCAACTGAGTGGTGTCCTTATAAAAGAGGAAAAAGACAAACAGGGACACACAGTGGAAGGAGTGCCATGTGACGACAGAGGCCAATGCAGCCACAAGTCAAGAACAACTGGAACCACCAGAAGCTGGGAGAGACAAGAACACATCCTCCCCTCGAGCCTTCAGACGGAGCATGGCTCTGCAGACACCCTGGATTCAAACTTCTAGCCTCCACAATGAGAGACAATTTCTGTTCTTATAAGCCACCTAGTTTGTGGTATTTCGTTACAGCAGCCCAGAAGACTGACAACTCCTCTGCAGCCATGCCCCTTTCTTCTAGAACAGTCCTGACTGTTACTTGGAGATTCCATCTTTCCCCATTCATTCCATCCATGGGGCTCCACCCCAACTCCAGGGGAGCATGTGACCCAGGCCCGGCCAATCAGCACCGCATCCCAGGCTGCGGGACCTGGTTTAGGGTGGCCATATGACTTAAGGAACTCTCAGGACCTTCATGATTCTCACTCTTCCCCTTTGGACTTGAACCTGAGAGGAAACGAGGCCAGAGCCCTGTTGTGACCATGAGGAGAGCTTGGCTCCATGGGGAAGCTAAGAATGGAGCCAACCTAGCAGACAGACAGCTCAGAAACCGAGAGAAGTAAGTCTTGATGATATGTTTGCTTAATGGCTACAGAGTTCCTAGTTCAGGTGATGAAAAAGTTTTGGAAGCAGATAGAATATATACACTGTGAATGTAATTAATGCCACTGAATCGTATACTTAAAAATGGTTAAAAGGCAAATTTTATGTTTTTCATATGTGTCTCTATTCCACTGTGTATGCTCTACCTGGTCACTTTCATGCTCACGTCTGTAATGATGGGACCCAGCTCAGGTGGCAGATGGAAAATCCACAACTGTGTCGCTCATTCAGTATTACTCTTTCTCATGGACCAGCCTTTCCCACCCCTACTAGGACGGAGATGGCCATCAATGAGTGGCACTGGGTTTCTGAAGACCAGGCAGCTGCTCTATGTGCGTTTGCTGCGGATGGCTGAGGGATGGTCCGATTTTCATGAAGTTTCTAACTTTCTCTGAACACAGCGATAGTTAAGCTCCAGAACATACCAGGATCAAAGTGCTCCTAAGTCTGGCCAGCCCCTGGAGGTCAAGAGTCCAGCCCTAGAACCAGCAATGTGCTCCAACATCAAAGCTGGTGTCTCCAGTGAGAGCGGATGGTGAAGAGGCCACTGTCCCAGACCCAGAATGATCGCACATCCAGCCCAAGCATGGCTGCCCCGCCCCTGCCTGCACTCATACCTCTGTAGCCTTGGACTTGGTCTCCTCCAGGGTTTGCACCAGCTCGACATTGTCCAACATATTCCCCGTGGAAGTGGCCAGTTCCCGAAGGAGGGAGTCTTCCAAGTCCTTCAGCAGGTTCTTGTTCTCACTCGTCTCCTGGATGAGGTGTTCCCTCTGCTCTTCCAGCTCTCTCCTCTCATAGGCCACCAGCACACTCAGCAGCTGATCCTCAAGGCCTTTCAGTGTAACTGTGGGGGGGAAGGAGCTGAGAAGAGGCCATCACTGCCATATCCACACGACACATTGAATGCTGTGTCCCATAACCTACACAGCTATGCCTGGGACAAGCCTAGGGTGTGTCTAAAGCAGCATTTGAGGAGCACAAGAATTGACACCCCTACAAAAATCAACATAAAGGAGCAAAGTAAAAAATAGCAGATGGGATAGAGATGTTGCTGTAAGAGTGGTAGACAAAAAGAGTGAAGACGTACGTACTCAAATACAATCCAGGGTCCAGGCTCCCACATGTTGGTGGGCCCTAGGTTAAAATACACCCAAAACTAATGAGCTTATTTAAGCCGCTGTAAACAACCCTAAAAAAATGGCATTTAATTTTTATCAGAACTCAATTGAGAGGAAGGGGAGAAATACAAATCACGACATAAATTTAAATACACAAAAATCCTATCACTTCCTGAGCCAGCAGAGGTCTCACCCCAATCCAACGGGATCCGTGAGTCCACGGTCAGCTCAGACTCAGTGTGTCTCAAAACATGTAACTCACTGCATTCCAAAGGGCACCTGAAACTTCTAGGTTTTTGCTTAATTGTTAAGAGGCCATTAGTTCAGATGTGACTATAAGAGAATGACCAGGGGTCCCTGTATGAAATGATGTCCCCTAGAAGCCTCCGTCTTGGATTGTGGTTCTGTGGTAACCACCTTCATTTGCAATTGACGTTCTGTACATTCTTACCAGTATAATTGATCACCATCGCCTTCCCAAACACTGACGGGGTGTATCTGGGATTGGCCAGTTTGGTGTTGAGATACAGTCTGAAATTTGAGTCATAGTCAACTTCCTTGTCTCCAAGTATGATAAACTGCCGTCCTTGGGAGACTTTTATGTTCTTTTCTAGGACGTTATCAATAACGGGATCGATATACTCATCAACATCATGGAACAGGAAAGGAGTCCCATACTTTATAGACATTTCCAGCTGCTTTAAGAAGTCAGGGTCATTAAAGGAGGCAACCTGCAAGAGAGGGGAAGCAGGTGCTAGAAGTCAGCATACTTAATTGTACCCTTGACAAATCCAAGGGAACAATGCCTTGGAAATAGAGAGTGAGCATGTCATGACCTTGAAGGGAGCCCAACGGGGAAAAATGATAGGGAGAGAAGCAAGGTGTGTAACCCATATAAACCCAGAAATCCATGAGGTTCAGGCTCAGAGCAGCATCTCATTCAAAAAGCATAGTTCGGTACCAAAGTAATTACAGTGAATTTCATTCTTTACTCGCATCTCTCAGAAGATCTCAAAAGGGATCCAAACACAGAGACCACAAAAATAATTTTTTAATCTTTTTTTTTTTTTTCACTTCCCTCACACCTCATGACAGATCCAACATCTCTTTCCTCAAAATATCTGAAACAATGCTTCCTCTATCTCCAGCTCCTGGAGCTTCCCTTCTTCTCCAGCCCCCTTCTCCAACTTGATAATGTTGATTTACTTATTAGCCTCTCTCCCCATAAGCCAGAATCCTTCTTTTTTAAGAGATGGAGTGGGAATAGGACTGGCGGCTAGGAGTGGACTGGCAATTTCAGAACTCTCTGGCAGGCTTAGGGAAGGGAGAATTCTAGAAACACTCCCGTGTTAATAATGTTTGTCCCGCTTCAGATATATGTGAATTTTAGAGGGAGAAATTCCCTGACCATGGAACTCAAATGGATGTCCTCCCCAGCAGCACATCAACACCTGGAAGCAAGGTCTAGAAAAAAAGAAGGGAAAGTTACAACTGAAAATCACTAACTTGTTCATTAGTCCACCGAAAAAGAGATCAAGCCCCAGCAATTCTAATCCTAGGTATGTACTCAAGAGAAACAAAAATATAGGTGCACGAAAAAACGTGTACACGGCCGTTCACAGCAACATAATTCACAATAGCCTGAAGGTGGAAACAACCCAAATGTCCATCTGCTGTTGAATGGATAAAAGAAATGTGGCATAGCCAAACGATGGAATGTAATTCAGCTATGAAAAGGAGTGAAGCTCTGATCCATGCTACAACATGGATGAACCTTGAAAACATCATACTAAGTGAAAGAAGCCAGTGACAAAAGACTGACGGCATTTCTACGAAATGTCCATGATAGGCAAACTCAGAGACAGAAAGACGATCAGTGGTTGCTAGGGGCTGGTGCAGGGAGAAATGAGCGTGACTGCTAATGGGTGTGGGGTTTCTCTTTAGAGTAATGAAAATATTCTACAATTGATCGTGGTGATGGTTGCATAACTCTGTGAATGCACTAAAAACTGTTCACGTATACCGTTTACATGGGTGAATCGTATGGATATGTGAATTATATCTCAGTCAAGTTGTTAACCGCCCCCAAAACAAAAAAACACAGTGACCGAGCATCTACCGCCGTACACCCTGCACTGGGTGGAGGGGCGCAAAGATGAGAAAACCGTGATCTTTGCCTTCAAGTTGCTCACAGCCGAGAGAGGCTGCACACGTAATGAGGAGAACGGTGCCAGGTGCTCATGGCACCCAGAAGGCTCTGCGGGGCCAGCAGGCAGAGGAGGGTGGGGGGCTCAGTGTGGGGCTCAGGCGTTGGCATTTCAGCTCAGCCTCAGGGGAGGCGCAGGGCTGCTGGGTAGTGGGGGCTTCGTCTGAAGCTCTGCTTTGCAAAGGGGCAGCACGGCAGAAGGGACCGCGGGGGGCGGGCCCTACCCGCAGGTTGTTCTTCTCCTCCTTCCTCTTGATCCAGTTGAGGGCCTGCTGCTGGGGGTCGATGCACAGGGGGAAGCGGCTGGCCCTGGTGGTGAGGATGCCATTCTGGATGGAGAGCTCGTCAGGCGGCAGCCCCTGGGAGCCCCACCTGGAAGGGACAGCGGCAGTGACCAAGGGCGGAGGGCGGTGGGCTTGGCCTGCCGGGACCATCCACCAGCCCCGGGCTGCGGGGACCGGCAGCTCGCCCGGCCATTTCTGTGCTGTTGAGTCAGCTGGACTTCTGGGTGTGGCCCAGGCCATCGTCCTCCTGCCACTCCCTGCCTCGAGCCAGGGTGACACCACATAGGCCCCAGCCTAAGGTCCCTCCCTCCCTGTCCTCCTGGCTTGGGGCAGCACGCACCTGCTAATCTCGACATCGTCCGTGAGTAAGCTCTCTAATCTAAAAGGCTGGCTCAGGGGAATCCCCCGCTTCAGGATATCATTCTGCCAAACTTGATTGACCATCTCGTCCCGGAACTCCCATGTAAAGGCGCCTTCATAGCTCAGGAAAGCCGCGCACAGCAGGCAGTCTCCTAGTAACTTCACTCGGCGGTGCATCAGCTCGTCCAAGTCTTTCAGCCACCTGTCGGGGGAGAGGGGAGCCGCGGTCAGCACTTAACCTTCCAGCCACCACCCACAGGAATGTTCCAGAAGGACCAGCTTGCTGCATTGCCAGTGGAGATTTCTGCCCCAAATGTAGCCAGTTCACCCTAGTGAACCTAATGTTTTGTCCCACTCCAGCGCTCAACAGAACTTGGCATCTAGCAACCAGCCAACCAGTTGCCATCAACTTGATTCTGACTCATGGCGACCCTACGTGTGTCAGAGTAGAACTGTGCTCCATGATGTTTTCAATGACTGTGATCTTTCAGAAGTACGTCACCAGGCCTTTCTTCCAAGTCACCTTTGGGTGGAATAAAACCTCCAACCTTTCGGTTAGTAGCCAAGCACTTTACCATTAGCCACGCAGGGCTTCCATTTAGTAGGGGCCCAATAAATGTCTGTGGAATGCATTTTGTTCCAGTGCTATTTATCCCGTAGTAATGACACTGCTTCTAAACACTTAATCAGAGGTATACAAAAATACGTCCATCAGAGCGGCTCAGCACCAGAGTTAACAAGCTCTGCCCTCCCTGGTGGCAGAAATCCACCCAAGGTAAAAGAAAGCAATGTGTCATTTAGCCTCTTCTGGGAAATGCCCAAAGTCGACTAGTTCCAGAACTACTGAAAATCATGTGTGTTCCTCGACACCAGTTTTACAGGATGTCCCAGCCAGTGGACTAGCCATGCCCAGTGGGTTTGCCCATAAGCATCAGACAGCCCCACCCACGTAAGACTGACACCCAGGACCCAACAAGCCACTGGGGCCCTGAGGAAGCACCAGCCAGCTACAGACTCTTCCAGGACAGACTCAGGGGTCAGAGGTCACCGAGAAGCAAATATTCCCATGACCTAGGTTACCTGCCACAGGCCACTGGTTTCTCCTTGTTCTCCACAGCTGTGCTGCCTCTTCACCCCTTAGTAACTACTAAAATGATACTCAGTACCTGATGGACGCACAATTTATAAAATGGCCGTTAGCCACCTTAGATGTGATAGTAGTAAAATAAGAACTTTCCACATGATTCTTGGATAAAAAGACAACACAGAATGAAGAATCAACGCTGCAAGAGATTCCACTTTTGACGTTGATGTACAAACAACAAATCTTCCCTTAGAGCTGCAGTAAATTCTTGTCACTCGTGGTCACTGTGGTCTACAAAGTCACCACAAACACTTCTGTAGCCAACACTGCTTCTAAGGAAACACAGGGTCAGGTTCCACGAGCCTCTGGTCACAACATCTTCCTTGACTAATCAATACATGGAGCCCTGGTGGCACATGGTTAAGAGCTATGGCGAGCTACGGCTGCTAACCAAATGCTGGCAGTTTGAATCCACCAGCCACTCCTTGGAAACACTCTTATTTTATGGGTGGGTTCGAAGACACTATTTATCACTGTTCACTCATCAACACTGAACTCAGCCAACAGCGCTGAGACTCAGCCTGAACGCAGCTGCTCTAACACACGGATCTTCTCCGTGAGGCACATCACCGAATTTTTGTATTCAGGCACACCAGACAGCACTCTAGCACCACGTTTGGGGCCATTTTAAGCAGTGAAATCACCAGCCAAAAGCAAAAAACGCAAAAAATGTGGCATTAAATAGACTAGACACTGGTTTACAGCCTGAGAGCTGAGACAGGAAGGCAGAGCTGCCTGAAATGTTCGACCTCAGCTGGGAACGTGCCTATCTGACTCACATTTTTCACCACTCTGCACATCTGTGAACAGCTGCAAAAGTACCACAGGTAGTAGTTTTCGGTTACAAATAAATTTTAGCAAGTAGGCAAACTCCCCAATATGAAATCTGCAAATAATAAGTACCAACTGTACTGACCCGGATTCATTACCCAGACTCACCTGATGTTTTCAGACCCGAGACCTGAGATGAGTTTGTCGGCTGCAATCAGCCGTCTCTCCATGATTTCGGCTTCTTCCTGTAGCTTTTGCTTTTCCAATATGGCTGCCTCATATTTGGCCCCCAAAGCTTCCAGTTCTTTCTGGATCATGGCCAACTCATTCTGGATCCTTTCCAGCTCCCGTTTAGTCAGGTAGAAGTTCCGCTCCAGCCTGGCCACCTGAGTGAAGGTATTCACAGGACGATGGGGCAAAGGACCCAGCAACACAGTCTGGAGCCATGGAGGCTGGATGAACCCCCAAAACTACTGCCCTGAGATAATCTTTAAACCTTAAACCAAAAATATCCCCTGAAGGTCTTTAAATCAATACCATAGGTTAACTTAATTAGTAAAGAATGTTTGCCTTGAACATCGAGCTCTTTTGAAGAACTATCTATCTGGTATTAAACTGACAACAGCAACTCAAAAGGTCAGACAGGAAGCGTGGGGGGCAGTGAGTTCACGTTCGTTGGGGAGGAACAATTCAGAAAAGGAAGGTGAAAATGGTTGCACAACTTGAAGAATGTGATCAATGTCACTGAATTGTACATGTAGAAATTGTTGGATTAGTCAATGTTTTGCTGCGTATGTTCTCAACAACAACAACAGAAAAAAAAGCCTCAACCTTATGTCCACACTGCGTGTTTTAAGGATGTTCAAACTCTTTGGGGCAACCACATGTCACTATCGAGGCACACAGCTTCCTTTCTGAGTTTTATTTCAACAGTTTGCCGCAAAAGCTGTACATCCCTTAAAGAAAGGTATCCCGCACCACGGTTAGCAGATGGTTTGATTTTCATGTGTACTAAGGTCACCTTAGTACACAAAAAAATGAAAGGACCTGTGGTTCTAAGTCAACAACTCTAAAGAACACATTCAAGACAACACTGCTTTAGCATGGGTTCTAGGTTTTCTGAGTAATGAAGCAATGTCAGAATATGGTTGAAAAATGATCAAATGAATATAATGTTCTCTTTGTACTTTGTGTTCTACATGTTACTTTAACCCTGTGGGTCTTAACTGGAGCGGATTTGCTCCCCGGAAACAGCTGGCAAGGTCTGTAGACATTTCTAGTTGTCATAAGTTGGAGGTGGGGATGCTACTGGCATCTAGTGGATGGAAGCCAGGGATGCTGCTAAACATCCTACAAGGGATAGGACAGCCCCCACAGCAAAGGATTCTTGTTGTGTGCCGTCAGTTCTGACTCATAGTGACCCCATGTGACAGAGCAGAACTGCCCCATAGGGTTTATTAGGCTGTAATCTCTGTGGAAGCAGATCGCCAGGTCTTTCTCCCATGGAGCCACTGGGTGTGTTCGAATCACCAATCCTTCAGTTAGCAGCTGAGCACTTAACCACTGCACTACCCAGGGCTCCTTCAACAAAGGATTATCTGGCCCCAAATGTCCACAGGGCCAAGGTTGAGAAACCCTGCTCTAACCCTAGAGAACAATCAGGAACATCTTTTGTCCTGCTCTTTTCACAGAGAACCTGACAATCTTTCAGACCTCGGTTCTGTCGGTTCGCATTATGTCCAAATGGGAGTTGGATTTCAGAGTTATCATTTATTGGCCAGGGGAAATGCTTATGAGGTTTAAAATCAGAATGTTGCCGGGGCCTCTCCAGCAAAGCTGGGGACACGTTAATTCTGACGCCAGATCAGTCTCTGCAAGTGGTTTTCAGGTCTCACACGTGGGCAGTACCTTGTCTCTTTTGGGCTTGATTTCTCTAAAAACGTCACAGTAGCCCATGACAGCTTCAACAAATTTCAGCATTCCCAAGCCTGCTTTGCTCACAGCTTCCATTTCTTCAATTGTGGTGTTGAGCGTCTTCAAGAGACCTAGAGGCCAAAGAGGCAAGGCTGTCAGTGAGTGGCAAGCTCCATCTTGTGCAAGTCCAACAGAAAACAAGTGGAGATGGATGGACAACCCCAGTGCAACACACTCCTTATTCCTCAGCAGCCCTGCGAGCCGGACCAGACACTCCCTCACGCATGCCAGCATGGGCTGGACCCAGTTTTGTGTAAGTGGATGTTTAAGATGTGAGCGAGGGACACCCAGGACCTCCTATGATCCATCTACTTCTGTGTGACCCCCAGCAGCTCCGGGGACTCCCACCTGTGCCCCAGAGTGGCTCCATGCAGGGAGCTGACTGGGAAGAGTAGGTACTACAGGTTGTACGTCCCTCGGTCCTCACCCTTGACATGGGAGTTTAACTGCATGTAAATGGAATCCCATCCAATGGATACTCAGAGAGAGGAAGTCATGGTCTTTGTACTTGTTACTGTGTTTAGTTTGGCTTTGTTTGTAAGGGGCTGAAAAAGACCACCTGATGGTAAAGTTCTTGACAGTCAAGACAGTGGTTATATTACAATCTTTTATTCCTTTTGCAAAGACCTGGTGGGGCAGTGGTTAAGAGATCAGCTGCTAACCGAAAGGTTGGCCGTTGAATCCACTAGGCGCTCCTTGGAAACCCTATGGGGCAGCTCTACTCTGTCCTACAGGGTCGCTAAGAGTCGGAATCTACTTAAGGTCAACTTTTTTTTTTTTTTTTTTAGTATCACTCCAACTAGGTCAGGATGCAGGTGCAAAGGGACTCAGCATTCTATAACCAAAGACAGAGGCCCAGCCATGGATGAAGTGTCCCGTCTTACTTGTCCACCCTCCAGGGACCCACAGCAGACCCTATACTGGCTAGGGGAGAGGTCAAGGTTAGATCAACTCTTGGCACCACTGTGCCCTTGGAGAAGATGCAGGGAAGGCAGGGCTGGGCTCCAATGAGACGGTCTTGTTTCCTGGCAGTGAGAACCAGAGCGATTGCTGAGTCAGACATTCAGTGGGCATCTGCTGCTATGGTCCATCCAACATCCATCCTCCTGTTCTAGAGAACAGTAACACTGCCGCCACTTTCCTCGGGGCATACCCCTCCCCAGCACAGTTCAAGCGTCTCAGTGGTGCCAACTCCACTCTGGCTCCACGGTGGGTAGTGACCCATGACAATCAGTCCTGTCTACTCCATCCCAGAGCCACAGTGATCCCATGCGACCAGACTGGGAGGGTCTGCCTGCAGGAAGCCCCTTCCTCGCTCTCCTTCCCTGCCCCGAAGACTTAGATGCCAACTTGAGATGGACCCTGGCTTCTCGCGCATTGCGTACTTACCTCTAATGTTCTTAACTTGGCTCTGGGTGACTGAGTCAAAATCGATCTCCATCAGAGACCTCAGGAAGTTGGGGTCGGACATCATGCCCTTGGCGGTTTTCCAGTTGAGTTCCTTATACCCCTTCATGATGAGGATGCATTCACAGACCGTCTGCACCTGCTTAGGGGGCTTAGCGAAAGACCTGGCAAGAAACGAGAACGTGTGAGGGTCAGATACGAGGCCAGCCACGTGAGAGCTCCAGGAAAGGAGCTGGACCACAAGTCCCTTCTCGGAGGTGACATGGCCTGGAGACAGGAAGCCACATCCCAGCAGGTGCTGGCTCCTGCGGGGAGCTTCCCTGGAGGGAGGGACTGGGTCTTACCCATCAGGTTTCAGACCAGCCTTCTGGAACTTGACCGGACATCAGAATGGGGAGAGGGAGGTCATTAAAATGCAAACCCAGGCCGCCCCCAGAGCATCTAATCTGTAGGTCAAGGTGGAGCCTGAGAATGTGTGGTTTTAATCACACCCTGGGGCGATTCCCCAGACTCTAAACGGTAGCTACTGTTATTATTGCTATTACGATCATCATCATCATCACCACCATCATTCTATCATCCCCATTTACTAGATGAAGGAGCAGGATCACAGCGCTCAGAAGCTCTGCCCGTGTTCGCCCAGGTCTCGGCCGCAGCCTGGGCTCCCTCCAGGCCATGATGCCACTTAACTGCTGTCTTTGTCTTTGATAAGACCAGACCATCACTCTGCTTCCCCAGCACTCAGGCGGCCAGTCCCGAGACCTCCAGAGAAGCCAGAAGCCCAGGAAGACCAGGAGAGGAAGACAGCGTTGCTTCAAGGCTGAGAGAAGCCAGTCTCATATAAACTGTCCCCACTGCCCCAGGCTGCCCGCTGCCAGGCCATGTCCGTCAAAGCCACGCAAGGCACAAACACCAAAGCCACAGAGGGAGAGAAGAAGGAAGGAGATGCAGAAACGGCAAAGAAAAGAGAGAAAGGAAGCAAAGCAGCTGGAGCTGATGATGGGCTCCCTGGATGGGGAGTCGAGGCAGAAACCTGGGAGTTGTCAGCACGTGCTTAGGGGGCCAGGATGACCCAGAGAAGGGGGAGGGAGAGACCAAACTGACCAGCACAGCGGTCTGAAGCCTGTTTGTAGTGGGCAACCCCTCACAGCTCCAGGCCCTGGGGACCCCCTCCACCGCCCAGCAGAGGGGAGGAGAAGAGAGGGAGCCACACTGGGTAAGGACAAGCCAGGACAACAGCCCTGCGGAGGGCGGAGGGCGGCCGGTCCCAGCCCGAACCCTGATGATTAAAATAATGGCCTGAGTCATCAGGGAAAGGCTCCATTAGGCAGCGTCTCTGCTGACAAAAGCGAGGCGCTGTCAGGGGTTGTTAAAGTTTCCCTCAGGGCGGGTAAAGGCCAGCCTAGACCACTGCTCTCTGAATTATCAGGGGAGGAAACAATCAGTGACATGCATTCAGATACAAGACAGACAGGACCCAGGACCCACGCAGGGTCCTGAGCCCTTATGCAAGATAGTAACCTTTCAGGGGTCTCAGTTTTACATCTATAAAATGGGTATGCAGCACTGGAGACTTCCAGCTCCAAACTCCTATAATTCTAGGAAAGTGAAGTTCTCTGCCAAAAGCATACAGACCATGCTCTGGGACCTCTTTTATCCCAAGCATGGCGTTTTCCAGCGATGCTGGATCCCAGAAATGGAGCCCCCTCTGTTTCATTCGATTCCTCCCTTCTGTTGCCTGAAGGGCTGACTCAGATGGAGTGCCTGGTCAAAACCACTAGCCCCCATTTTCTACTGGGATGAAAACACTGAACAAAGCAAACTCAGGGATAAAAACAGAGAAAAGATGACCGCCTGCCCCCACCGAAGGAAAAGCATCACTCCAACCCCCCCATCCCTGAACCCCTCGACCCCAGCCATGCTGCTCTCTCTGCTCCTCCCACAGGCCACGCTCCTTCCAGCATCCTCAGCCTGGAGGGGACCCTCGAGCCTCTATCCTCCAAATGGAGAACTGCTTTCCAGCTGCTTCCTGGGATGACTTCCCTGGCTGGCCAGACTAGGACAGTCCCCAGTCACCCGCAGCCATAGCAGCAAGGACCTGTCCTTCCTAATCTTCTCCTGTGTCATTTTTACCATCCACGGAACAGTCCTATGTGGACGCCTGCACCTCCCCGAGACTCGCCGCATGCGGCAATGCCCTCGTCTGCGTGTAGACACTCGGTTCTGCCAGATGAACAAAGGAAGAAAAGTAACATGGCAAGCCTTAGACTTGGGCCAGCCAGAGACAAAGGGAGCCTTTTACAGCAAGGAGAAACATCCACTTCTAATCTTCCTGCTTTTTTTTTTTTTTTTTAACATTTTATGATTTCTACAAAGGGGATTGCGCATTACAGAAAGGCAAGGCTACTTAAAGAATTAAAGGATTATGGGATTGTCAAGATGCAAGTGCTGATTTATCATACTTAACATCCAGATGACCTAAAGAAAGCCAGACCACAGTCCTCTGGAAAAGAAATAAAATCGGGTCCAAACACACGTAGAACACCAGGAAAAATCTCAACTAGATCAAAGATTTAAATGTGAAAAATTGCACCATAAAAGTACTAGAAAACACCACGGGGAAATTAAATTTCACAGCCTTGCAGTGGTAAGGCCTTTTAACTATGACACGTTACACATTATACAGAAACCATAAAATAAGATATTGATAAAACTTGCCAAATAAAAAGTTAAAAACCTATGCACGGCAAAAACAAACATATACCCAAACCTCGTAAAGTCAAACGGCAGATGACAAACTGGGGAAAATGTTTGCAACTCACATCATGGATAAAAAAACCAAACCCAATGCCTTCGAGTCAATTCCGACTCATAGCAACCCTATAGCACAGAGGAGAATCGCCCCATACGGTTTCCAAGGAGTGGCTGGTGGATTCAAACCGCTGACCTTTTAGTTAGCAGCCGAGCTGTTAACCACTGTACCACCAGGGCTCCATATCATGGATAGAAAGCTATTTTATAAAAGGCTCCTGGAAATGGATGAGAAAGAAAAGCAAAAACAACTCAACAGACAAAGCACATAACAGAACAGTTCACAGAAACACACATGACTCTCATATACATTTTTCACATAAAGAAAAAGGATGAACCTCATAATAAGAGAAGTACAAACTAAAACTACACTGAAATACCAATTTTCATCTGGACAACGAGTTAAATCCCAAGTGCTTGCTAACGCCCTCTGCTGGTGAGGCTGTAAAGAAGCAGGCTCTCATGGATTGCCAAACCAAAAGCTGTTGCCATCAGAGGCCCCTGCTCTGGAATAAACAGAACATTCTATTCAAATTTGCATATGTCTCACTAATAAGAAAACAGGGGCAGGCCTTGGACCAGAAATGCTGCTGGTCCTCATGAAATGAGAAAACCACTGAGAATAAGCTTCATTCCCTCAGGAACACAAAATGGAATAGGCCCCACTGACTCGGAAATGGGCATCTCTCAGCTGTGGAAAGAACAGCTGTGGGGCCAGGAGGATGAAATGACTTCTGAAAGTGAGGAAGGGAAAGGAGAACATTGAGGCTCCTAACCCAGTGGGCATCTTCTGTGTGGGGCAGACAGTGCAGGGGAGAGGTCTGGGTGGGAGGGTGTCAGCCTGCTCTTCTTGTGTTTTCACTCGCAGTGCGAAATTGACCATCGAAATCCATTATTGGTGCCCTGGGGAGGCCAGGCTGTGTGGAAGGAAGCGCGCCCATCCACCCCACACCGGCACCCTTCCTGACAGCCAGGCTCTGGCTGTGCGTCGGGCGCCATTCTGCAGATTCACTTGCAAACTGTCTGGGGGTCACATAATGACCCACTCTCACAAGCCCACGTGGCTAGAGATGGATTAAGGCGTCGTGGCCATGCAGTTTTCAGAGGAAGCGCTGTGAGGGCAGACGCCACGTCAGGTTGTCTGTTAGGAGGGTGGATTTACGACGCCTGTCCCTCTCACACACACACCCCCCACCCCCGCCGCCCCGAGCACAGCTTCCTTGGCGAGTCAGCCTGGGTTCAAGGTCAAGCTCTGCCACCTCCCCTTGCTGCGCCTCACCTTCCTCATCTGTAAATAAGGATAATAACAGCCTGCACCACACAAAGGGCTTGTGGAGGGAGGACATGGCACAGGGGGGCGCTTAACACAGTGCGTGGCACTCCGCGTGGGTGCCATAACCCCCACACTGTAACCGCTGGCAGGAGCGAAGCGGGCGGCCAGCGTGTAACTGAAGATGGCTGTGGGTTACCTAATCTCCGTCACGTCGGACTTGTCCAGCTTCTGCAGCTCCAGCTTGGCGGCCTCCAGGATGGGCATGACCTCAGCCAGCGCCGTCTCTGCCTCGGCCTTCTCCGCCGCGATGACCTTGTTCTGCTCCTCTATCTCCATGGCTTTTTCTTCGGCCAGTTTCCTCTTCTCCTCCGCTGCGGGGGGGGGGGGGGGGTTAGGACACACTTCCTGTCATGGAGCCGAAGGGGCATGTGGGCCTCAAAGGGTGGTTTGGGGCCGGAAGAGGAGAGCAGTCAAGCATAGGCCAGGATGGAAGGTGTGGGCCGTGGCAGCCTGTTAGCACTCACGGGAGAACAGACCTCCTGCAGTACATGGGTGTCCGGCACCAGGGCGGCTGTTCTGACTCTGACCTTCCTTTCCTGGCCCACTTGTGTGCTACCAGCTCCGTTCCATGGCCGGACACGTGGCTCCATGGCAGTCCCAACCCTGAGGATGCCCTGACCCTGTGCTCCTGGGTCACTAAGACCCCCTTGGCCTCATCACCTTCCCCGACGTTCACTCACGCCCAGCTCAGAAGCCACCCCACCCTTTGATGTCATCACTCTGCTGACTCCCTGCACACTGGTCACAACATGAGATGTCCTGAGTCCCCTCACTAGGGTATGACATCTCCCCACCCAGAGGGCTGGGTCCCCAGTGCGTAGGACAGCATGGCAGGCCTTCAGTAGGCATGTGCTGGATGCACTCTCAGACTGAAAGGTAGTTCCTCAGGCCTTCTCCCAGAGCAGCCTGTCCTGCAGGCCTGGGCCACGCGGAGCTGCCCACACTTGCCAATGGCTGTGTTGGTGGCAATCTCCTCCAGCAGGGCCTCACAGGCAGCGGACTTCTCTGCCAGCACGATCTTCTGCTCGGCCAGCTTCTGGTTCAGCTCGTCCAGCTGGATGGTGGCCTCCTTCAGCTTGTCCAGCCCGCCCTCCAGACGCTTACATTGAGCTGAGGAAACAGAGCACCCAGGCGTCATCAACAAGGTGGGCCCTTCCTGAGAAACCGAGACAAGCTCTGTGGGGGCCTCCCTGTGATTTGTCCAACCTGTGCTCAAGAAAAAAGAAAACGAATGTCACTTCTTATGATACGTCATGTATATTTCAGGGCCTCCAAGATTGGGATGACACTGGTCAAATGAGTATTTTTCTACAAACAGCGCTTCATTTGGCCAACAGCGCCCTAAAAAAAAAACCAAACCAGTTGCCATTGAGTCAGTTCTGACCCATGGCAACCCCATGTGTGTCAGGGTAGAACTGCACTCCGTACGGTTTTCAAGGCTGAGATCTTTCAGAAGTAGATCACCAGGCCTTTCTTCCAAAGCATCTCTGGGTGGATTCAAACCATCAACCTATCAGTTAGCAGCTGAGCGCCTAACTGTTTGTTCCACCCAGGGACTCCGGCCAACAGCCCCAGCCAGATCATATTTTAAAAGCATTTTCCAACGTTGCACGTTACCGCCAACAAAAAACATCCTCTACTGCAATGAAAATTTAGAGTTACAAAGTGCGTGTCCCCAGATTGAAAATAAAAAATAGGAACCTGCCGGGACCCGAGCCACATGGAAGAATGACTCCTCAAAATGCAAAATTCACAGTGTATTTTGCCTTGCTTCGCTCTTGAGTAGGCCTGGTCTTGCTGACGAATATTTGCTTAAAGAAAAGATCAGCACTTGAGTCCTGTCATCAAGGAATCAAGGTGTCCAGTGGCCGTCCCGTCCCCAAGCCTTACCTATGTTATATTGAGTTTTCTCGTCCAGTAATTTTGAGTACGTGTTAATAAAATCAAGGTAGTTCTTGGGGGTGACGTAGTTACTGCGTCTCAGTTTCTGTAGAAACTGTTGGCTGAATTCGCCCACGGATTCGTGGACCAAAACAACGTGCTTGACCAGCTCTTCTATGTTTTCTGCTGGAATCATCAGGTTATTCCCTGAAGCGGAAGGAATGAGAGAGGTGCCTCTTAAAGGAATGAAAAAGAGCGGCTGTCACATGCCGGTGGCTTTTCTGGGCCACAGAACTGACCCATGTGCTTTAGACATGCTGGCAATTTCTCTTATAGCACAGAAAGCCACTCTCCTTCCCTCCTGTTGGGAAGATCTGTCTTCTCTGGTGGGTAAGACACTGGTGGGGTTTGGGCAATGAGATGTTTTGGAAATAGGTACTGGTGATGGTTCCACAACATTATGAATGGAATTAACACCACTGAAATGTACATATGAAAATGGGTAAAATAAAAAATTTTATGTTATACTTGGAATCCCTGGATGGTGCATGCAAATGGTTAATGCACTCAGCTGCTAACTGAAAGGCTGAAGGTGCCAGTCCACCCAGAGGTGCCTTGGAAGAAAAGCCTGGTGACTTGCTTCTGAAAAATGAGACATTGAACAACCCTATGGAGCACGGTTCTACTGCAACACACATGGGGTTGCCATGAGTTGGGGTCTACTTGACGGCGACTGGTATGTTATATATATTTTACCGTTGGGAAAAAAAAAAAAAAAGATTGTGGCAGGAGGAACTTGAAGTTTCAGGAAGAGATGGCTGCATCTAATTCCTGCACTGTCACCTGTCAGCTGAGCAACTTACAGGCCCTGGGTGAGACTCTTCAGCTAGCGATTCACTGTGTGTCCCCAGGACCCAGCACAGTGCTGGACACGAGGTGGGCCCTCCTGAACGCCCAGTGAAGGAAGTAACGATCGCTGCCTGTGCCGAGATCACACTGCTCCGATTATCTGGCAGACTGTGAACTATACTCCTCTCAGAGCAGAATCTACCCTTTAGATTAAAATGTAGGAAGATGGACCAACAGAACCAATTCATCCAGATTTTGCAGATTTGATCCTTTTTGAGTAATTTTAAACCAGCTGTTGTGGAGTCCAACTCTGACTAATGGCAGCCCCACGTGTGTAAGAGGAGAGCTGTCCTCCACAGGCAGATCACCAGGCCCTTCTTCCGAGGTGCCTCTGGGTGAACTCGAACCTCCAACCTCTTGGTTAGCTGCCGAGAGTATCAACCATTAGCACCACCCAAGAACTCCCCTAAGTTATATTAGGAGTTGGCAAACCACAGTCCGCAGGCCCATTTTACAGCATGCATCGAAAACTTTGCCTTGTAAATATCCATGCTTTGGACACAGTCATCCCAATTCCCTGGAATATAGTCTAAGGAAAAAAAATTCTTAGCAAATTCCATGCTGCGCTATTTACGATACCAAGATACTGAATACTGAAAGCAAATCCAAGTGCTATCCTATTGCTGTGGAGTCAATTCTGACTCATGGTGGCCCTAAAGGACAGAGAAGAAATGTTCCACGGGGTTTGGGCTGTGAATCTTTACGGAAGCAGACTGCCACATCTTTCTCCCGAAGAGCGGCTGGTGCGATTGAACCGCTGACCTCTCAGTCAGCAGCCGAGCACTTAACCACTGCACCACCAGGGCTCCTTAATCTAAGTGCTAACATATAGAAACTGCTAGCACATCTATGAAAACTTGGGTCATCTCTATCGGAGGTTATTTATAAAGTTTCACTGGTACACAGCCATGCCCATTTGTTTATGCATTGTCTCTGACTGCTTTCCTGATATAACTACAGAGCTGAGTAGCAGCCACAGAGCCCGTGTGGCTGCAAAGCTGGAAATACTTAGCATCTGGCCCTTAGACTTCTGCCTGTATAGAGGTACTAATTATTTTATTTACTGAATAAATATTCATGAGGTTGAAACTATTATGTACTTACAAGATCATGTAGGATCATTTGTCATACGACTGCTCGAGTTAAGGTCTAGAGAAAAAGTTTTTCCCTGAAGAGAAATTGATTTTCTTTCTCATATCAGAGACTAAAATTAATAGTCAAGGCCTTAGGCATTTGAAACTCTAGAGACAAATCCAGCACTGACTGATAAATCACTTTACTTTGGGGACCTTGGAGCATCCTTTCAATCAAGGATTGGCAAACTTTTTCTATAAAGAGCCAGACAGTAAATGTTTAGGCTTTGCAAACCAGACGGCCCCTGTTGCAATTAGTCAACTCTGCTGTTGTAGCACAAAAGCAGGCACAGACAATACTTTAATTAACGAAGGAGGCTGTGTTCCAATAAAACTTTATTAACAAGACAAATGGTGGGCTGAATTTGGCCTGTGGGCCATGGTTTGCCAACCACTGCTTTAGATGGTGCCTGATCAATTATCAGCCTAAATTGTCCTTGTAAGTCCCCTGAAATTCCTTTGGACCAATACACAATATACACCAAGAACATACTAACAAAATTTTAAAAAACATTCACTGCCATGGGGCTTAAGTAAGAGAATCCACTGAGCCAGAATTCAGAGAAGTGATAAGAGCTTGTTTTGTTAAACCAGTAACGTAGCCCCAGTGGCACCTCTGACTCACCTAGGTATGATTTAGCGACTGCATGCAGGGCCTGTGGAGGCCAGGGCATGAACCAGTCAATGCCAGTGTTATTCACCAGACCTTGAAAAGAAACAGAAGGAAAGATGAGCGTTCTGCAACCCTGAGACACTCAACAACAGATAGCATCTCTGTACCTAATAAATCGTGAATGAGCTGGACATGTCTGACTCTGACTCACGGAACGCAGGGTTTCTCAATCTCAGCACTGCCGACACTTGGGACTGGATCATTCTTTGTTGTGGGGGGCTATCCTGTGTAGGATGTTGAGCAGTACCCCTGGCCAATACCCACTAGATGCCAACAGTACCACCACCAACCCCAATTGTGAAAACCAAATATGGTTTCAGGCATTGCCAATGTCCCCTAGAAGGAGCAACATTGCCCCTGGGTGAGAAACGCTTTTCTAAAGGCAAGATCTGCACTTTCCACGATGCTGACAGAATTTTCCCAAGTGGAAGAGCAGAGAGAGTGACGTGCACTCACTATGAACCTTGAGCCAGACGGACATCAGCCATGTGCAGGCAACACCAGAGCCCCTTGGCAATTGTGAGGCAGAGGGAAGCTGGCCCCACACCACCGGCGGAGACAGGTGTGGGGCCCAGATGCCCACCCAACGGCCGTGCATGTTTTACTTTGCTGGTGGTGCTGCAGGTACCCGATCGTTCCCAAATGCACACGCCCTGCTGAAGGGGAGAACGGATTTGCAGGTCAGCGCCAGGGTACCTGGGAAGTTTCTGCACCGGGTCCTCAGGGTGTCCCCGACCGGCGACATGCCCAGGACGATGTGCAGGTTGTTGGCGCTCTTGTTCACAAAGTACTGCCACACGGACTCCTTGGCTGGCCCCGTCCCTTGCTTCAAAGCTTCTTGGCCAATCTGACCTAGGATGGACTCCTTCTCATCTTCTGTGAAAAGCGCTGGCACGATTCCTGGGCAACAGACACACGGTTGTCCAAACCGGCTTTGGCTCTTGTCTCTCTAGACACCCGCAGAGACAATGGGGGCGCAACATGCTGGACAGAGCGGGAGAAGAGGAGACTGCAAGGCTGGGGCCCCACACCCCACCGTCTCCCCTTCATCACATCAGGGCTGGGGCCCCGCACCTCCACCTTCTCCCCCTCATCACGGCAGGGCTGGGGCCCCGCACCCCAACCTTCTCTCCTTCATCACGGCAGGGCTGGGACCCCACACCCCCACCTTCTCTCCTTCATCACGGCAAGGCTGGGACCCCACACCCCCACCTTCTCTCCTTCATCACGGCAATGCTGGGGCCCCACACCCCAACCTTCTCTCCTTCATCACGGCAGTGCTGGGTCCCCGCAACCCACCTTCTCCCCTTCATCACGGCAGGGCTGGGGCCCCGCACCCCCACCTTCTCCCCTTCATCACGGCAGGGCTGGGACCCCGCACCCCCACCTTCTCCCCTTCATCACGGCAGGGCTGGGGCCCCGCACCCCCACCTTCTCCCCTTCATCACGGCAGAGCTGGGGCCCCGCACCCCCACCTTCTCCCTCTTTATCAGCCTCCACAGTTGCAAGTGACAGAAACCCTGAGGTTTATTCACCCGCTGTGGGTAAATCCCTTTAGTTCTCATGAGGGGAAGGCCATGGGGATCTCGTTTTAAGTCGGCAGAGGCCTGTGCGTTTCCAGCCTCCCCATACCTGAAGTCAGCATGTTGTTGATGAGTTCCAGGAAGCCCTCCTCTGCCACATGGGCATCTGTGAACAGGAAAATCATCATCTTGTTCTCAGTCCCAAGCTTCAGATACAGGTTCTTCAGATCTTCGCGGAAAGTGTTCTCAGAGTACCCTCGGCTCAGAAGGATCTCGAAGACCTGGCAACACAGACAGCAGCTCTGCCGTGGGGCAAATACACAAGGGACAGCTACCAGATGCCAGGCTCCTCGCCCCTGGCTGCTGCGGTGCCCTGAGCCCCCAGGCAACGCTGAGATGAGGGAACTGCAGAGGGAGGGGACAGCTCCACAAGGGAGAGCTCACAGGCTGACTTGTCCAAGGAGCCTGAGACAGGCACCGGGGCAAGCGAGTACCTGTGAATAGCTGGGGTTGAGTGAAGACTTGGCTCTGCATCGCAAGATCACGAACGCACATCATGAGATGCCAACAGAGCACCAAGTGAACCAGGCTCCCGAGTCCAGTTTCAGAAAAAACGGAGACATTGAGGATAAAGGAAGACCCTAATACTGAATGGGCAAATCTGCTGCAAAAGACCTCTTTAACGTTCTAAAAAGCAAAGATGTCACTTTGATGAGTAAGGTGCACCTGACCCAAGCCGCCGTCTCTTCAATCAGCTCATATGCACGCGAAAGACAGACAATGACAAAAGAAGACTGAACAACTGGTGCGCTTGAAACGTGTTGCTGGGGAAGAATACTGAATACACCACGGACGTTCAGGAGAATAAACACACCAACCTTAGAAGAAATACAGTCAGAATGCTCCTTAGACACAAGGATGGCGAGACTTTGGCTTGCTTACTTTGGACACGTCATCAGGAAAGATTAATTGCTAGAACAGGACCTCACATCTGGTAGAAGGTCAGCGAAAATGAGGGAAACCCTCGATGACATGGATTGACACAATACCCACAGCAATGGACTCAAACATACCAACGATCGGGAAGATGGCACAGGACCGGGCATTGTTTTGTTCTGTTACACATAAGGTTGCTGTGAGTCAGAGCCCACCCAATGGTAATTAACACCAACAACACTGAACGGAGTCAGATAGCAAAGAATTAGAGAGGGACCTGGGGGAGCAGGGAGTGAATTGTGAAGACAACTGCTCTTCAAAACCAAGTCTGAATGCATGGTGCATTCCTCCACTCTTGAGGGTCCTGCAAGCGAATGGCCTGGGAACCGCAGGAGCTGTCTAGAACATTCCAAGAATGGTCTATAACCCTATGTGCAGCAAATTGCTGATACCGTACACTGGGTTACCTGAGGTTGGCCCAAGCCCTCCTTCATGTGAGCGCATCTGACAATTCACAGGATCTACTTGTATTTGCCTTTTTAACTTCATTTGAATATTCTCTATTGCAAAAATAATGCAATAGTTAGATGCTTTGGATATTGAGTTAGAGTGTTAATAACAAGCCAAACAACAACAAAAACCAACCAACTCTATACTCTGTGAAAACATCATATGATGATTTGCTATAGACTGTTCCACCACCCATTTGTCAGTTTGTCCTGCTGTGGTGGCTTGCTTGTTACGTGATGCTGGAAGCTACGCCACCGGTATTCAAATACCAGCAGGGTCACCCATGCTGGACAGGTTTCACTGAAGCTTCCAGACAAAGACAGACTAGGAAGAAAGGCTTGGTGATCTACTTCCAAAAAGCATCCAGTGAAAACCCTATGGGTTACAACAGAATATTGTTTGATGTCATGCTGGAAGACGAGGCCCCTCGGTTGGAAAGCACTCAAAATACACAGTGGCTGCAACAATGGATTTGAGCACACCGATGATGAAGAACACGGTGCAGGAGGGGGCGGTGTTTCATTCTGCCGTGCATGGGGTCACCGGGAGCTGGAGGCAACCTGACGGCAACTAACAACACGCAGATTGCTCTAATATTTGCATGAACCATCAACTGCAGGAAGTGGCATAAAATAAACACATTTCTGGGAAGGGAGATGGACTCACCTCGTAGCCTGCTGTGAAAGCAGCCAGTCTGGCAAGAGACTGCTTCCCCGAGCCACCGACCCCGACCAGCAGGGCATGGCCACGGTCCATCCGAATAATACGGTGCACACGAGTCAAGTGCTCCAGAGCGTCGTCAAAAAGAACCAAGTTCATCTTGGTGTTACTTTCATTATACTCTTCAAGAATTTCCTGAAAGTTTAAAAAAAAAAAAAAAAAATCACTGCATTTTGAGATGCGGACTCTCTCCTTTTGTCCAGGAGAGTTTAAGGATGGAGAAGAGACCTTTATAAAAGTCTACAGTAGTTGAAATAATTAGGCCACTTGGTTTTACACGATGAATCTGACTCTCACAATCCAGAGTTGGATTTGCTGTCCTTTAGTGTGCCAGCAGCGAGCTGAAGCATATGACAAAGCTCAACTCATGAATTATAATTACAAGAACTAGTGCTTCCCAAACCTGGCTGCACATCACCATTCTGGGACCCTCCACAGGCTTGGTGAGCTAACTCAGGGGGTGGGCCTGGAAGACTGTGTATCTAAGGAATCCCTCACGTCCTTCCAATGTACCACTAGATGTGGAGACCACTGGATCAGACACAAGCTCGCATCTCAGAGCCTGAGAGAGAGGCCTGGGTGTCTCACTTGGGTCCACCCGCTTGCCCCACGCCCTCAGAGGAAGCACGCCCATCGAGAAGGGAGCCCCATCCACACCTGGAACAGAGCCTTCGCTGCCTCGTAGTCCTGGATGTCTTCATAAACGCGTGCTTCCTCTTCGTGCAGAGCCATCCGGAAGTCTCCATACAGGATGGGGTCCCTCATTACCACCTCCAGGTCATCATTAAAATGCTCCTCAACCAAGTTTCCTATGTGGCCTTGGACCTTAAAATGGAAGACCACTTAAAGACCCAAACTCCCACAATAGCGTTATGTGCTAAAACTCGTCAGAGAAAGAACATACGCCCTTATTATCCTATCAGAAGTAATTCACGTACATTTTTCTCAATTGCTGTAAAGTTCTGAGTCATCCACCCTCCTCTACCTGCTGACTTTTATTACATCTGTTTTTCTGCAATTAGTGTCTTATAAAAAATACACTGGGATCATGTTCTAAACTTGCTGATTTCACTTTGAGAAGAATTTTGAGGCCAGGTCTGCAGTGACTGCTGCATTTGGATGTACTGACCAGCTGCTTGTCGGTTTCATTGATTAATCGGTCGTGGAAGACTCTCAGACACTCGTTCCTCCAGACCCTCACCATCTGGGGCACCGCCTGGAACCTACACGGTTAAAGGGGCAAAATCAGCTACAAAGTCACACAGAGACACACAGGGCTAAGCAGACTATTTTTAGACAGATACACAGAGTGCAGAAAAGGATGAACATGTAGACATCCAACCAGAGAGTTTGATGGGAGCGAATAAATCCAAGTAAGGACCATAAAGCCATTGCTCGTAACCACTTCTATCGTAAGGAAGACTCTGGCACTCTACTTCCAAAAATCAGCCAGTGAACACACTATGAATCACAACAAATGACATCGAATACTTGCCCCTGCCCCTACTTGCTGGAATACAGGGACTGAAAATCAATGTCAGGATAGCCGGCAGCTCTGTTTTCTGAGAGCCAGCTCCATCTGGCTTTACCTGGGAACTTTCCCTGGTGTCAGAAGACCTTCACTCCACCCTAAACACCTGCAGCTGCCCTGCCCTTAACGGCCCTTGCAAACCCTTACAGGGACACCTGAGAGTGAGTCTGGGCACCTCACACATTTTCAGTATCTTGCTGATTCATAGTATGGATCCCCACAAGTGAACTACACCTGCAAATCTGGGTAGAGTATACGTGAATGCTAAAACACGAGTCCAGTTTTAAGAGAAAAACTCTGTACCCACACTGGAGTCCTTCTTGTCCTCTGCTCTTACTGTTCCTAAAGACACGCATAATGTAACCAAGTGGCAACCAGAAACAATTCAGTAGCATGGGTGAAAGGTTTCACAAAGGCAATTCCAGCTGAGGAACTAAGGCTGAGAGATGGGCAAGGTGGTCCCCACCAGAGGGGTTTAACACATTTGCCCGTATATGAACACAGCTCCTTCTCTTAATCCCAACTGTCTTCAACTCGAGGGGCTTCCAAAGCATCAGGTCATCAGTAAGACATTCAGTAAACTTTTTTTTTCATTTAACAAAAACAAAAAGGCTCTGGGTAATCAATTGATACATTGATTCATCAAATTCACTGATCAGTCCTCTGTTCTAAAAGAACTAGAGAAACCATAATACCTGTGGGACATACTTTAGTTAGACAAAACAAACTCACCGCTCCGGGTTAGTGAGGACGAGACCGTTGTAAACCCGTGAGAGGTCTCGGAGGTTAAAGATGTAATGGAACTTGGAAGGGGTGGGCGGCAGATCCTGCACGATGTGTTTGTAGAGCGCTAATGTGCAGAATGTCAGCTTGTCACTCACGGCCATGATGCTCTCGTGAAACATCTAGAAAATGAAAAGAACCCCCAAGTGTCTATGAATGGATGGACTGCATAGACAAAAAGTGGTCCATCCACACAATGGAATATTGTTTGGCCACAAAACTGAATAAAATACTGATCATCCTCATGGAACAATATGGATGAACCTTGAAAACATCATACTGAGTGACAGCAGTCAGACACAAAAGGAAAAATGCTTGGTTCCATCTATAAGAAATATTCAGAACAGGTATATCCATAGAGAAAGAAAGCAGATTAGTGGTTGCCAGGGGGTGGCGGGGTGCTGCACAGAGGAGGGAATGGGCAGTGACCGCTAATGGGTACAGGGTTTCCCTTCGGGGGGATGAAAAAGTTCTGGAACTAGACAGTGGTGACGGCTGCACAACACTGTAAATGTACTAAATGTCATGGCCTAAAATGGTTAAAATGGTCAATTTTGTGTTATGTGCATTTTACCTTGCCATAATAAGAAAAAAAAAGAAGGTAAGAAACAAAAAATGAAAGACCAGAGAAGCCCATCATCTGATCTTCGTCAATTTCCCTGCATTTCACATCAACGGTCAAGTCTCAACCAGCCCTCAGTTTGAGTTTATTTGACTAGTGTAGACCTCACCGTCTTGCGGGTGGATGCCTTGAGGCAGGGCATGAACACCCCAGGTCCCCACAGTCCCTACTGATCTCAGCTGGCCACTCCACACCTTTACCTTACCCTCCCAGCCCCCAAGCCATTGAGTCTGCACACCCCACTTCAAAAGTGAAATGTCAGAATCAGAAGGTAATTATCTGAATGAATGTGTTTCATGGCAGGAGGGTGGGCAAGTAGATCGTAATAACAGCAGCAACAACTAGTATCTAGGGAATTCCTGCTATGTGCTAGGCACTCTGCTGCACACTTTACATGCATTCTCTCCTTTCACCTCCCCCAGACCCAGTGAGGCGGGCACATCATTATCTCCCTGTTCCAGATGAAAAAACAGGGCGAGGAGAGTTCAAGGGCCTTGCCCAGGAGCAGAATGGGGACTGACTCCAGAACCCAAGTCCCCTAGTCCACTCACTACTGAAACTCAATGTGGCACGTGTAACTCAAAGCCACACCATGACTTCCATGGGCCAAGGCACTTTTGCCTTCATGGGCCCCTTTCTCCATTTAAAAAAAAAAAAATTAAAATTATATTTTATGATGGTGTTGGTATAAATTTTATTCTCATTTTAAAAGAAATTAGGATATCTTTGTGGACTCCTAAAACTATCATGGGCCTAAGCACTGTGCCTGCTGTGTCTAACGGACCAGGTGGCCCTGTATATGTTTCTACCCAACACAAGGCCTTCCAGTTTAGACATCTAATCTACGTCACATTACCGAGGTATGGCCTTTCAGGATGGAGGAATAAATCAAATGCAAAGACTCCTCTGAAGGAAATGGTACGTTAAAGACAATGAATAGCGAGATAAATCTCGGGTCAACTTCATTGCGGCCTCCTCCGGCCTTTCCCATGGCAGCGATAAAACCAAGGTCTCGGATGCTTTTACAATTCAGCTCCTTTCCACGGTCGTATAAGTAGCCTTTTTCCAAGAGCAGTTTAAGCAGGGCAATCGGCTGCTGTGTGCCATACTCATCCACCTTGAGTTTTTAAAGAAAAGAGAGAGCAGCAGTATCATAAAGCAGAACTCGGAGATGCCTCTGTTGACCACGTAAACGTAAACTAAAGATCACCCCTCCTGGCATTCTCTCGGAGAAGCCGGTCCTGAGAGTCACAGCGCTCTCCAAGTTCGAAATTATATATTCATTCGTCATTGCCTTTTAAAAGTCTGTCTCCCTCACTTAGACTGTAAGCTTCACGAGGGCAGGAACTACGTGTTTTGCTCATCACTGCACAGCACTAGTCCCACAGGAGGCGTGCAGTAAATACACGTTGATTAGAGGAATGGGTGAATTAAGGTGAATGGATGGACAAATGAACAGACAAATAGGCGGGTGGATGGATGAATAAATATATGAATGGGTGGACGGATGTGTAAATGGATGGTGGGATGGATGGATAGAGGGATGGATGCATGGGTGGATGGATCGATGGATGGATGGATGAAGAGATGGATGGGTGGATGGATAAATATATGGATGGGTGCATATATATATAAATATATGGACGGATGGATGGATGGGTGAATGAATAAACAAATGGATGGATGGATGGGTGATGGATGAATAAGCAGACACATGAATAGACGAATGAATGGATAAATAGGTATATGGATGGATGGGTGGATGAACAGATAAATGGATGGATAGATGATAAATATATAGATGGAGGATGGATGGGTGGGTGGGTGGAATCCAAGTAGATTCCACACAGCCAACCTGGAAGATAGACTTTCAGAAAAAATAAAAATAAAAAGGCTCTGTAGCAACAATATAAATTAAAATTCCAGTACACGAAGACAACTTTGCACCTCTCAGGATCTGGCTCCAAAAATCACTCATCATGCATGCTAAAGTTCTCCACTCTGTGGTGGATCCAAAGAAATTTTTAGGTGGTGTTTGCCCTTATGCTTCCCATGTATACGTGGCTAAAAACAGCATCATTACCTAAAGTATAGCTCCTTTGGAAACCACTTACTCAAACACATGCTGAATATAATTCAAAGGCTCTCTGGTGCTCATTTTTCCCCTTTAAGAAACCAAGGAACACAGTCAGTAATAGAGAAGTCCCTGTACATAAGCAGAGCACCCCAGGAACTCTCTCATCTCAGCTGGCTCCCACACCCTGCACTCTGCAGACACTGTGCAGGATAAAGGCAAGTGTGCTCACACTAGCTCACATCAGCACATGCACACACTTTACAGGAGCACGTTGCCTTCCCTGTCCCAGCCACCTCCTCACACTACCTTCGGCATATTCATGTCGTCCATGAACACCAAGAGGCGTTTCCCCATGGGTGGGCCGTAAGTGTCTTTGGTCCGTTTTTCTACACTTGCTTCTAAGTTTCTTTGGATATCCAGGGATGTGGTGCGGGACGAGAAGTTGACTATCAACACAATCTGAAATGAGATCATTTGGAAAGTTGGTGTTTTTTTCATGGTATAAGCAATAAATGTTGCAATGTAAGCCATCACCTATTTTGATAAATCACTGGCATCTGAGGTAACTTTTTTATAACTCAATGTGACTCTATACTTAATTGTTTGTTTGTTCATTTGTCTGCTTATTTTCAGTAAAGGTTCCAGAAACAGGCTGTCTTACATATCTAGGGCTGCTATAACAGAAATACCACAAGTGGGTAGCTTTAACAAACAGAAATTTATTTTCTTACAGTTTAGGAGGCTAGAAGTCCGAATTCAGGGTGCCAGCTCTAGGGGAAGGCTTTCTCTGTCAGCCCTGGGGGAAGGTCCTTGTCATCAATCTTCTACTGGTCTAGGAGCTTCTCAGCGCAGGGACCCCAGGTCCAAAGGACACGCTCTGCTCCTGTCTCTTCTTGCTTGGTGGTAATGAGGTCCCTCTCCTCTCTGTTCACTTCTCTCTTTTATATCTCAAAAGAGACTGACTCAAGATACCTAAATCTTTTTTTTTTAATCATGCCTTAAATCAAAGTTTACAGTTCAAGTTAGTTTCTCATACAAAAATTTATACATGTATTGTTATGTGACCCTAGCTGCTCTCCCTGTAATGTGACAGCACATTCCCCCTTTCCACCCTGGATTTCCTGTGTCCATTCAACCAGCTCCTATCCCTTTATGCCTTCTAGTCTCACCTCTGGACAGGAGCCGCCCATTTAGTCTCATGTATCTGCTTGAGCTAAGAATAAGAAGCACTCTCTTCATGAGTATCATTTTATATATTATAGTTCAGTCTAATCTATGTCTGAAGAGTTGGCTTCGGGAAAGGTTTCAGTTCTAGGCTAACAGAGAGTCCAGGACCATGTCTTCCGGGGTCCCTCCAGTCTCAGTCAGACCATTAGGTCTGGTCTTTTTACTAGAATTTGAGTTCTATACCCCATTTTTCTCCTGCTCTGTCAGGGACTCTATGTTCTGTTCCCTGTCAGGGTGGTCATTGGTGGTAGCTGGGCACCACCTAGTTCTTCTGGTCTCAGGCTGATAGAGTCTCTGGTTTATGTGGCCCTTTTTGTCTCTTGGGCTAATATTTTCCTTGTGTCTTTGGTGCTCTTCTTTCTTTGCTCCAGGTGGGTTGGGACCATTTGATGCATTTTAGATGGCTGCTAGCTAGCTTTTAAGACCCCAGACACCACTCACCAAAATGAGATACAGAACATTTTCTTTATAAACTTTATTATGCTAACTGACCTAGATGTCCCCTGAATCCATCGTCCCCAGACCCCCACCCCTGCTACTCTATCCCTCGAAGTGTTTGGTTGTATTCAGGAAACTTCTTAGCTTTTGGTTTAGTTCAGTTGTGCAGACTTCCCCTGTACTGTGTTCAAGATACCTAATCTTGTAGACTGAGTCCTGCCTGATTAACATTAACTGTCTCTAATCCTACCTCATTAACATCATAGAGGTTAGTACATACAACACATAGGATAATTAACTCACATGACAAAATGGAGGACAACCACACAATACTGGGAATCTTGGCCTAGCCAAGTTGACACATATTTCTGGGGGATCCAATTCAATCCATAACATAGGCTGAAGGAAAAATTTTCAAAAAGCATTGTGGGGAGGAGTAGGGTGACTAACCACCCCAGTTTGCCTGGGACTCTTCTGGTTTTAGATCTGAAAGTCCTGCAACAGGGGGAAAAGCCTTCCTGGAAACTGACAAGTCCTGGTTTTCCATGATGAATGCAGAAGGTGGGAGAAAATATGAAGCCCTTAAATTGTCCTCAAAAATAGGGGCTGAAAGCAACACTGTTTTAGGGTCAAAAGTATATGGCACAAATTATCCACCTTCCAGAGTAGCTGTTGCTGGGTTTTTTTTTCCTGACCGCTGATGTTGTCAACTATGATACGTAGTTCCCAACAATGCACCATCGGTTGTTGTATCACTTGAGTGATTTGACTTAAGTCTGCAACTAAGAGCACTGTAATTGTGGATTTTAACAGGCTGTCTTTGACTGTGTCTGTGGATTAGCTGCTGTGCTTTGTGTAGAGATAGAGCTGGCTTAATTTTGCTTAACTCCCCATTTCCCTCTCTTCCCAGCCCCGGGTAACCATTGATCTTCTTGTCTTAATGGATTTGCTTATTCTAGATATTTCATAAAAGTGGAATCACTCAGAATTTCTCCAAGTACTTCATTATTTTTTAACTGCTAAAGCATGAACTTCTTCCTCTTGGCAGGGTGTATGAACCAATGATGAGTTGCCGCATGTGGGCCTTGGAAGCAGCATTGGTCAGCAGAAAGTGGGCAGTGGGGAGGGGTCTTGGCTCTGCCAGTTCTAGCTATGGGACCTCACCCTGTTAAAATGAAGGATGTATGGATAGATGGATGGACAGATGGATAGACGGTCGGATGGACAGATGAACAAATAAATGGATGGGTGGATGGATGAATAAACATATAGATGGGTGGATGGATGTATGGATAGATGGATAAATAGATGAATGGATGGATGGTGGGTTGGGTGGAGGTAGAGAGAGGCAGGGCATACACCCTGCCAAAAGGAGACATTCTTGCTTTTGCAGTTTTAAAAAACAATGAAGTACTTGGAAAAATACTGAATGATGCCACTTTTATGAAATGTTTAGAATAAGCAAATATCTAGAAAAGTCATTTACCCTTTCAGAGCCTCATTTTCATCATCTGTAAGATGATTTTAATAACATTTGCCCAGCCTACTTCATAGAGTGAATGTATTAGATGAGATGAAATGCACAAAGCCATATTCAGTATGAAAAAGGAATATTCAAACATGAGTTACTGTCAAGTCAAGTGTTCAAATGACTGTAGCCTCATGAGAGACCCCAAGCTAGAGCCACCCAGCTGAGCCATTCCCAAATCCTGGACCCACAGAAACCACAGGCAATAAGTATTTTTTGTGTTAAGTCAGTAAGTTTTGGGGTAATTTGTTACACAGCAATAGCTAACTAATACAAATAATGACTTACATTTGTCTCTTCATTCAGATTTTTTAGGAAGTTCTGGGTAGTGGCTGTCTTAGAGGTACCTGATTCACCAACGAAAAGAACAGGTTGCTTAATTTTAACCACTTGCTCCAATATCCAGGTTGTGCGGGTTGTATCCACTGTATGAACTAAAACAACATATTAAGAATGGTAGCATCTCAGGAACTCCAAGTAGCATGAGCGTTTAGAAACTCGGAGTTTCACAAAATCCATAAAGCACATCAACAAAAAGTCAAGATGTGGCCTTGAAAACACATATACACGTAAAATATTCTTAGGAGAACTTCATTATCTGAACCAGTATTTTTCATAGCTTTATTGAGGTATAACTTACAACCATAAAATTCACCCAGTTACAGTGTATCCTTTGATGAGTTTGGTACATTTCTACAGTTGAGTCATTATCACCACAATCCAGGCTTAGAACACTGGTTTTGAATTGCATCCCTCCAAAATACATGTTATAAATCCTAACCTCTATGCCTGTGGTTATCAACCCATTTGGGAATGAGTTGTCTTTGTTACATTAATGAGACAGGATTAGTGTAGGGTGTGTCTTAAGTCAATCTCTTCTGAGATATGAAAGAGACTAAACAAGCAAGTAAAAGTAGAAGAGATGGGGGAAGAGAGATGCCAAGCCACATGAAGATCACCCAGGAGCAAAAGCTCAAAATAGACAAGGACCTTGACCTTCCTCCAGAGCTGACGGAGAAAAAAAGCCTTCCCCTACAGTCAGTGCCCTGCGTTCAGAGTTCTAGCCTCCTAAACTGTGAGAAAATAAATTTGTTTGTTAAATACTTGTGGTATTTCTGTTATAGCAGCACTAGATAACTAGGACAACTCTCAAGTTGTTCTTAATTTACAATTCTGATTTCTATTCAGGATATTAAAGACTTCTCCACTGACTATGTCACCCATACACCCACGGAATTTGGCTTCCTGACCAACAAATTCCTCTAGAGAGAGTGAATAACCACGTCAGATTCAGCTCATTCCTACATCAGTGATTTTTAATCCTATTGGTTCCTGAGAAAATAAGTATGTCACATTTCATACGAACAATGGGCCAAAATTTGGGGAAATTATTCAGCCCAGAATGTATCTAAATAGCTAGAGGAGTGAACTTAGAATACGGCCAACTGTGCAAAATCGTCCACAGGACGGGATGTTTCAAGGGGGCGCCTTTTATGAATCACAACCTCATTCCTCTTTGCTCCTTCCCACGTCCAGCCAGCTCTGTGGGCTGAAGAGGCTCTATGGGAACGTGAGGGAAAGGAACCACCACCCATCCCACCTGTCAGCACCGCCTGCCCCCGGAAAGCGCCGAGAGTCACAGACACCTGAGGATGCTCAGAAAGAACCAGAAGCACAGAAAAGGCATCAGAAGGGCCACCTTGGGTGTTTGGATGTGTCTGCGAAATTTCTATGACTTTGCCCTGGTCAAGTTGTGCTGACTTCCCCAGTACTGTGTACTGTCTTACCCTTCACCCAAGTTACCACTTATCTACTATCTAGGTCTTAAAAGCCTGGAGCAGCCATCTAAGATACATCTATTGGTCCCATCCCAGCTGGAGCAAAGGAGAATGAAGAAGACCAAAGACAGAAGGGAAAGATCAGTCCAAAGGACTAATGGATCACAACTATCACAATCTCCACCAGACTGAGCCCAAAACAACTAGATGGTGCCCAGTTACCGCCACCGACTGCTCTGGCAAGGATCACAATAGAGGGTCCCAGACAGAGTGGGAGAAAAATGTAGAACAAAATTCAAATTCACAAAAAAAGATTTGCTGGTCTAACAGAGACTAAAGAAACCCCAGGAGTATGGCCCCCGGACACCCTTCTAACTCAGTACTGAAGTCACTCCTGCGGTTCACCCTTTAGCCAAAGATTAGATAGGTCTATAAGGCCAACAATCACATACATGAGGGACATGCTTCATAGTTCAATTACGTATACAAGACTAATGGGAACACCAGCCCAAAAGCAAAGATGAGCAGGCAGGAAGGGACAGGAAAACTGGACAAATGGAAACAGGGAATCCGGGATGGAGAAGGGGAGAGAGAGTATCGACACATCGTGGGGTTGGCAACCAATGTCAGCAAACAATTTGTAGATGAACTGTTTGATGAGAAACTAATGTGCTTTGTAAACTTTCACCTAAATCACAGGACTCAGACTACTGGAGAGGCCACCTGACCTCCCTCCCTCCTCACTGGACCAGAGCCCTCTTACCCCAAGGGCCAGGGCCCAGGTCCCACTTACCGAGGATGTCAATAAACTTCTTCTCATGAACATGAATGTACTCTGGAACTAGTCTATTCCATGGGATCCATTTCTTCTGTTTGGAATCAAAATGAAAGTCGTACAAGGTGGGAAGCTGACCTGTAGTAACAATACTCTGTTTCATTTTATCTTAGACACGGAAATGCAGAAGCAGTTCTGGCACAGGCTCGGAATGAGCTGCTGCCACTTGTTCACTGGGCAGAGACTTACTGAGGCCTTTGAACTGACGCTACTCAACTGCTGGACAGAGAATTACTAAGTACTCCAAACTGATGCTACCTGTACACTGCACAGATACTTGTGGAGTACTTTGAACTAGTACTACTCATCCACTGGACAGACACTGAGAATTCTGAACTCATGCACTGGACAGATATTTACTGAGAATTCTGAACTGATGCTACTTGTTTACTGGAAAGATACTGAGTACTCTGAACTGATGCTACTCACTCACCGGGCAGATACGTACGGAGTCCTCTGAGCTAACGGTACTTGTTCACTAGACAGACACTTGTTGAGTACTTCCCTGTGCAGGGAATACAGAAGTGAGACAGAAAGCCCTGGTCTCACCCTTACAGTTGGTGGTGGGTCAGGTGGGGGTAGACAGTGGCAAGGAAACAGGCAATTTCAATGCAGACTGCTGCCTTCTGGGATGGGGAGGTACGAGGCAATGGGCGTGTAACCAAGATGGGGCGGGAAAGAGGCCACGGGTGGGAGGCTCAGGCAGTGTCAGTCCTTCACAGGGGTGCTATGCAAGCCCAGCGTGAAGGAAAGCCCCTTCAAGCACCCTCCCGCAAACAGGCCGCCACCTTTACCCCCGCCCCCAATAAAAAATTTTGGAGCCAACACTGCAAGGAAGGTATAGTGGGTTAAAAGTGTCCCCCTAGATTGGACAGCTTCATGAAACAAAACGAGACTAATGAGGCACAGCAGCCCAGGGACAAGGACTAGAAGGCAGGAGGGGACAGGAAAGCTGGTGATAGGGAACTCAAGGTTGAAAAGGGACAGTGTTGACATGTCGTGGGGTTGTTAACCATTGTCACAGGGCAGTATGTGTACTGTTTAATGAGAAACTATTTGTTCTGCAAACCTTCATCTAAGGTACAAAAAAAAAGAATTATCTATGTGAGATCAAACTCACAACAGCAACTCAAAAGGTTTGATGGGAAGCCTAGGGGGCAGTGAGTTGAAGATAATGGTGATGGAATAATTTGGAAAAGGATAGTGAGAACAGCAGCACAACTGAAAGAATGTAATCGATGTCACTGAACTGTACATGTAGAAACTTTCAAAATGGTGTAACTTTGGCTATGTATATTTTCACCAAAAAAAAAGGTTCCTCCAAGGTCAAGAAGGGAGAGTGTTGACATGTCGTGGGGTTGTTAACCAACGTCATAAAACAAGATGTGTACTGACTGTTCAATGAGAAACTATTCTGTAAACCTTTGTCTAAAGTACAATAAAAAAATAAAGAAAGAAAAAAGAAAAAAAAAGGTCTCCCTAAAATGTCATGTCCACCTAGAACCTCAGAATGTGACCTTATCTGGAAATAGGGTCTTTTGTAGATATAGCCAGTTAAGATGAGGTCATACTGGATTAGGGTGGGTCCTGAATCCAATCCCTGGGGTCCTTCTAAGAAGAGGAGAGGACACACAGTGACACACAGGGAAGACGCCATGTGACGACGGAGGCAGAGACGGGAGTGATGCAGCCACACGCCAAGGAACGCCTGGGGCCACCAGAAGCTGAAAGAGGCAAGGCAGGACCCTCCCCTGAAGCCTCCAGAGGAGCGCGGCCCTGCCAACACCATGACTTTGGACTCTGAGCCTCCAGAAGTGTGAGAGAATACATGTCTGTTGTGTTCAGCTGCCCAGTTAGTGGGACTTTGTTATGGTGGACACAGGAAGCTCACACAGAAGCCTTCTTGAGGAGACGCCACACAACCCAGGACTGAGGGATTGGTAACCTGCTCCAAGAGGAGAGGGGCGGCCAGAAGGCTCTGTCGGGAAAGAGCAGAGCTCAAGGAAAGACTTGCCGCAACGGGTGCAGGGGGGGCCAGAGGAAGGGAAAGGGGTTAAGGGGTGGAGCATGGTGGGGGTGGGGTGAAGGTGGGTGCAGGGAGGGCCAGAGGAAGGGAAAGGGGTTAAGGGGTGGAGCATGGTAGGGGTGGGGTGAAGGTGGGTGCAGGGAGGGCCCGAGGAAGGGAAAGGGGTTAAGGGGTGGAGCATGGTGGGGGTGGGTGAAGGTGGGTGCAGGGAGGGCCAGAGGAAGGGAAAGGGGTTAAGGGGTGGAGCATGGTGGGGGTGGGGTGAAGGTGGGTGCAGGGAGGGCCTGAGGAAGGGAAAGGGGTTAAGGTGTGGAGCATGGTAGGGGTGGGTGAAGGTGGGTGCAGGGAGGGCCAGAGGAAGGGAAAGGGGTTAAGGGGTGGAGCATAGTGGGGGTGGGTGAAGGTGGGTGCAGGGAGGGCCAGAAGAAGGGAAAGGGGTTAAGGGGTGGAGCGTGGGGGTGGGGTGAAGGTGGGTGCAGGGAGGGCCAGAGGAAGGGAAAGGGGTTAAGGGGTAGAGCATGGTGGGGGTGGGGGGGAAGGTGGATGCAGGGAGGGCCATGTCATGAAGGGCCTGGTAAGCCATTCTGAGGTGCTTGTTCACTAACCCAAAGCTACTGGGTCACTGAAGGGTTAAAGTAGGGGGTCATGATCAGTTTGGCATTTATGAAAGTTCCATCTGGCTGTAATGGGAAAATGGATTTGAGGAGGTAAGAGTAGAGGCAGGGAGGCATGTCAGGGTACAGTGGGGAGGGGAGATATGAGCAATTCAAGAGACACTGAGAGGCAGAGTCGACAGAACTGAAATGATAGGGTGGAGTTTGAATAGATGATCATAGAACCCAACTTAGAAATTTACCTACCTGTCAGTTGCCATCAGGTCAACTACAACCCTACAGAGCAGAGTAGAACTGCCCCATAGAGTTTCCAAGGAGCAGCTGGTGGATTCGAACTGCCAACCTTTTGGTTAGCAGCCATAGCTCTTAATCACTACGCCACCAGGGTTTCCATGCCAAGCCATGTTCAAACGGCAGTAAGAGACGAACAAAGGATTCTAATGCTTCTGTGTACATTACATATACAGACATATACAAATACATATACATATTTATATTTTCTTAATTGCCTCAATGTATATAGTCCTCTGACAATGCACATTTTTCATGGAAAAAAAAATTCTAAAGCCTTAATATGATGACTTCCTAAATGATCTACAAATTCACACCTGGGCAAATACCCTACTCAGGAATACAGCAGATGAATTAAATCGTGGAACTTTATAGAGAGGTTGTTACTAAAAAAATACAAAACCAGACAGGGAATTGCAAAGGAGAAGAGACTCAGAGGCAGGCAGAATACACAACTCCAAGGCGCCAGAGCAGAGAGAAGGAAGCAAGTGGCTGCGCTCAGCTGAGAGAAAGTTCAGCCTCAGCAGGAAGGCCATTCAACGGCCCTGTGGGTTCCCACGGAGCAGGTCACGCATTTGAACTTCTCCTGGGGGTTCCACCAGGTTCTGTGACCACGAGGTACGTTTCTCTGCAGATGCAAACAAGCTAGAAAACCCATAAAGGCATAAATACGGAGAAGAAAGGTCTAACGAAAAACTCTCTGAGCAAGAAAACTGGTTCCACTCGGTTCCTACCTGGCAGCTCCCCGGGATTGGCCCAGACCTCGTCTGCATCAACAGCAGACAGCGAAGCGATGCGTTTAACGCACTCATCAAACTTCAGCCTGCCATCCTCGAGCAGACAGGCTCCCAGAGAGCAGTACAGCGCCTCTAGGAAGAAGCACTCCAGGAGGTCGGGGTCTTCTATTTCCCCTTCTAGTAATACATCCAACATCTTGGTTAACTGGGTTACCTGGTTCACAGAAAAATACCTGGTTCAGCCCATAGATTCCACCCCCACGGGGTTATTTCCAGTAATAAATCCTGGGATCCCAAATGCCAGAGCAACAGGAAGATTAAAAAAAAAGGTGCCGTCATGTCAATTCTGACTTATGGCGACCCCATGTGTGCAGAGTAGAACTGTGCTCCATAGGGTTTCCAGGGGAAGCAGATCGCCAGGCCTGTCTTTCCAGGTGCCTCTGCGGGTTTGGAACAGTCAAGCGCTTAACTATCTGTGTCACCCGGGGTCTTGACCCACCACACTCAGTCAGACAGAAAGAATCCAACATCTTACTTTGCACAGTGTCACAACGGGAAGTATTGTGTCTTCCTGGTATCTTTGCACCCATTAAAAGCCCACCGTGGGTCTATCTTCGGGAAAGAATTGCTTTTTGCTAACAACGGTGATTGTTTCTTACCATATTTAGGTCTGTCTGAGGAACTATAGTCTTCAATTTCTCTCCTTGTCTCCCATCCACTATTCCTTCCACTATCACGTCGATAAGATAGGGCACATACTTCCCAAAGAGACGCTGTAAATCGCCTTGCTCCACCTGTAAGCAGATTCCAAAGCAGTTTCAATGGCTCCTGTATTTCAACGAAGTTAGTGGAAAGCTTTGCTTGTCAAAAGAGAAGTGAGACACTTCTGATGAATGATAAATTGGGGCAGTGAGTAAACAACCCTGATCATAACGTCTTATCTTTGTAGACAGATTTGGCTTTTATAATACACTTTCGTTTCATTATGAAGCATTTCATCTCATTCCCAGAGAGCCTATCTCTCATCCCTGGCAGGGAGAAGGTGGGATAACAGGTCCCGTTTGACAAAAGAGGGGCTGATCATCTTAGCATTCAAGAGACGTGGCCACAGTCACCCAGCAAACGGTGTGAAGCACTGGAAGGACCCTCTGCTGATCAAGCACTGGTGACAGCAGGGACTGCATGAGTCTTGCACAGCTCCCTTTCCCATATGACAGTGCCCCAGACAGTGCTATCCTGCTTCCCACGGTCTTCTCTTCTCAGAGGTAATTATGGCCTGGTTTCCAATCCCTTACCAGCCTAGTGGCCCTTACAGAGAACATTGGCATAGTGTCCTGGGTCTTGTCAGGCCACCATCCTGCAAAGATGACTGTCACATCCATCTCTGCACCTTTCAGTGAAGGCTATCACTGAGAAAATACACACTTTCTAGCAGCCAAGTGACATGTCGTGTGGTTTGAGGTCAACTGAAACACGACAAGGTGGGTCCTTCACACACTGTACTCAGCCCACTGAACAAATGTGCAGGTGCTGGGCACCTCCTGGAGACACGTCTCTCAATAGTTGGGCTTGTCTGGACCAGGGATTGGAAAACCACGTGCTGCTCCAAATCTGGCCTGCCATCTGTTTTTGATAATAAAAGTTTTACTGCTACACAGCCATGCCCGCTCATTTACACACCGTCTATGGCTGCTTTTATGATACAGTGGCAAAGTTAGGACGTTGCAAAAGAAACCATATGGCCCACAAAGCCTAAAATATTTATTATTTGCCATTTTACAGAAAGTTTCCTGACCCCTGGTCTAGGCCGTCAAAATCATTACCTATCCCACCAGCTAAGAATTATGTGGAAATATGCTGTCTTCCACGTTTTCATTCAATGTACTAATAACAGCATTGAAGTGCTCAAGGTCATGGCCTTCAATTACAAACACCCCTCTGGGTTATGTCTACTCAACTACTATAACTTTCAGTTCACTTTAGAAATAATTTTCACCTTGTTTTGTATTTGATTGACCCATTTTTTCCAGTATGGTTCATATTTCAAGTTTTTAGGATCAACATAGACCATCCCACATCGAGATACAGTTGCAGGAGAGGCATACTGTAAATCTCCAACCTAGAGAAATTAAAAAAAAAAAAAAATCAGTCACATCTACAGCTTGTTTAAGGGCCTTCTCTTGTACAATGTTTTTACAACTGCATAAAACCCAAGTCATGTCCTGATTAAGATAGCTTTCCTGAGACACTCCTAATTGAGAACTTAGGTTTATGATAGGAAGATTATACATTTATGATGTCAAGCCTTTTTAGTTTTCTCTTACTATAAACATTACTATTACATTTTTCACATTAGGATATCTGGCAAAAATAGAAAAGTATAAAGAAGAAAATAAATTATCAAAAATCCCACTGTACAAAACAGAACAACCAGAATGGAAGTAATAAGAATGTTCACACACTGCAAAGAATGTAACCAATGTCACTGAAAATTTGTATAGAAATTGTTGAACTAGAACCTAAACTGCTGTGCAAACCTTCACCAACAATAAAATATTATTAAAAAAAAAAAAAATTCTACCACATAATGACAAACACTGTCTTGTGGGATTTTTTTTTTTCTGTTCAGTTTTTTTTCCTTTATATTTTTAAAATATAGTTAAGATCAAGTAGTATAAAACTTAGTAAGCATGCATCCAAACCAGCAATATTAACTCACTTATCGCTCTCTCTGAATGAAAAAGAGAAACACATTTTGGTCAGTCCATCAGATAACGATATGCACAAAGACACACACACTGTGGCTACACAAACACATTTTGCAGGCCAAGGTGAGAATGTCATTAATCTTAAACTAAAGTGAAAGGACCTTCCAGGATAACAGCTGTGATTCCGGCCCAGAGGGCAAGCAGTCCATATTGTAAGCAGGAGATACAGCCCCCACCCCCCAACCAGGGAGTGGTCTCCAGGGAAAAAAAGGGAGCCTCAGCAGACATTTGCTATAACAAAGTTTGAAAAAGAAATGGGGTAAGATAAAGGCAAATAGTGTAAGAGGAAAAGGAAGGCAATTAGAAACTCCAGGCAAAACAAATGGTTCTAAAAGAAAGTAAATACAATCACAGTATACTAGTTGGCTCTGCAGTAGATAATATTTTCATATCCATTCATGTTTACTGATTTAATAACATACGGTTCTGAGTAAGAGGAAAAGCTACAAGAAATGTATGCTTGCCCTCATAGCAGTCAATCTAGTTAATATGAAAACTTGGTAAAGGAAGAAACAGCACGCTAAACATATTACTTACAGATACCACAGTAACCATTTAACTCCAGGGTAAAAAGTTGTCTCTGGGATATAATAAAGAAGGGCTGGGGGTATCAGTAGAAAGCAAAGGGTTTCACTCATCATAAACTCTTCTGCAATATTTATTTTTATAATAATCTATATTTATTACTACTTAAGCAAAGAATTTAAATTTAAATTAAAAAGCTTATGTTCAAAATTATCTTTTATCACTACTTGCCTCAAAGAGCAGAGCACAGTGTGCTTGAAGCCGAATGCGCTCCCCATTGGCCAACGTCAACAGCTTGTTGTCATCCATCACAGAGTTCATGTTCTCCACCCAGAGAGCATCCACATCACCATCAAATAAAATGTACCTGGGGCAACCGAAGCAAGATGAGCCAAGGCGCCTAGAGAACTGCCAATTATGAACTCAAGTAAACTGGCGCCCATTCGTATTGAACGTCTCTTCCCAAGGTTCTCTAGCCAAGATCTGAGACAGAGCACCCTATTTTGTCCAGAGCTTTGACCCACATGGTACACAAACACTGTTTTAATTAGTCACCAACATTTAAGAATCAGAAAACTTTAAATGAAAATCTGGATTTTCTGCTTCTCTGGCTAACTGGAAGGTATGATAACACAGACCTGCATTCCTTCGTGGGAACAATCTGCAGAAGCCGAGTAGTGCTGCCCCATGGAGACAGGGGGTACACTATCCAGAGTGTTACAGTCCACCCCCTACCCCATTCTCTTCTTAAACCTGAGGCTTAGCATCAGTTGCCATTTATCACAGATTTCGACCACTCTGGTTTTTCTTATGGCAAAGTCAAGATGAAAGGGAAGCATTTCACGGACCCATGTAACCTGGCCCGCTTCACTCATTTACATTACCAGCTGGGCCCCTGGAAGCACCTGAGTTTACAACTCTGGTTTACAGGGCTACTTTGGCTCCAAAGCCTTAGGTACTCAACCTACTGTTACACTTCAGTGAGTTACATCACAGCAAAGTCCATAGCCAAAGGATAACCATATACTTTGTGTTGGAATGGTGGTTTGATATTGCTTCCAATTTGCTGGTAAAAATAGTTAGATTTTTTGCAGTATTAACATTTTGGCTTATTTTACTCCAGTTATTTTTTTCTCTTCAACTTCTTATTTTTAAATAATGTCAAACTTAGTTACAAGAATAGAATAGTACAAGGAACTCCCATATACCTTTCACCCAAATTCTCCAATTGTTAATTTTTTGCCACATTTGTGTTCACTCTCTCTCTCTAAAATCATTTGAGAGTACACTGCAGTCTTAAGGTCCCTTTATTCCTAAATACCTTGGTGTGTGTTTCCTAAAAATAATACGCATTTTCTCTTATATAACCACAGTACAATTATCAAATTTAGAAAATTTAACATCAATACAATACTATTATCTAATACACAGTCCATATTCAAGTTTCACCCAATGCCCCAATAGAAAATCTCTATTTTATAACCATCGTAGGAACAGTAGATTCAGGCACTCATCAATAGACGCTAATACCATTGCTCAAAGGTTTGATGAAAAACAGGATGTTTACAGCATAGTTTAGGGTATGTCCCCAGAGCTTGAGTATCAATTTTAAAGGGGAAAAATGGCAGACGCCACCATAACCAGATGATCAAAGTTCGTCTCACCAATCACAGGGCAACCCATCATCGTGTGCCTCAAAGACACGCAATGAGGAGGATGTGACGTCACTTCTGTGATGCTGCTGTCAAAGATGCAGAGGCTGTGTCTAGTCAGGGGGTGCACTGGACACACCCAAACTGAGGGCATTCTCTGCAACAGCGGCCTGGACTCCTCCGAATTGTCAAGGCCATGAAGGTAAATAAAGTCTCAGGAACTGCTCATGATGAAAGGACACCAAAGAGAAGGACAGCTGACTGCAATGTGAGGTCCTGGAGTGAATCCAGAGCCAAGGGACCACTGCTCAAGAGGGTTTGTCCTAAAAGCCATCAGTTGAGTTTATAACAGCTTCACTCATAACTGCCAAAAACTAGAAGCAACCAAGATGTTTTTCAATAGGTAAGTGGATAAAGCAAACTGTGGCACATCCATACAATACAGTGTTATTTACTGATAAAAAGAAATCAGCTATCAATCCCTATAAAAGCATAGAAGAACCTTAAATGCATACTGTGAAGTGAAAGAAGCCAGTCTGAAAAGCTTTATACTGTATGATGCTGACTATATGACATTCTGGGAAAGGCAAAACTTTAGAGACAGCAAACAGATGAGTGGTTGCCAGGGGTTCAGGGAGAGGGACAATAGGTGGAGAACGGGGCATTAAAGGCAGAGAAGCTACTCCGCATGATACAGAAACGGTGGACACATGACGTCACGGATTGGCCAGATCCCATAGACCTGTATAACCCAAAGAGTGAGCCCTGATGTCAACTATGAACTTGAGTTATAATAATTTATCGATATTGGCCCATCAATTGTAACAAATGTACCCCATCAAGGCAAGATGTTAATAAAAGGAGAAACTGTGTGTGGATGGAGGGGGGAAAAGGGGACTCTACTTTCTGCAAAAATTTTCTGTAAACCTAAAACTGCTCTAAAAAATAAAGTCTAGCTTTAAAAAGTTATCAGTTGGGACTTTAGATTCTCGTTATTTAAGAATGTTTTAAAAATTTGAACCGTTTATTCTCAAGGGGATTTGCCGAGAACGTAGGATCAGGATTGCTCTTGGGTTGACCTGACAGGCATCGCAGGGACAACTCACGCTGGAAAAGACTTCTTCCCGGGCTGTACCTGGCAGAGCATGTCCACACCCGGCGCCGCGGACTCTCCCGCAGCGTATGGTGGGGTGAGCAGGGCAGGCAGCGTTTCCAGGTGAGCTGCTGCAGCTCCAAAGGGCCCCCAGCCCTCTCCACGGCACGCTGCTCCTGACCTTGACTTACATCTTGCAGTACAGAGTGGCAGCAAGGCAGCTGCATCTGACGGCTTGGAGCCAGATGGCCGAGTTCAAGTCCCCGGCCTTGGGGCAAGTTTCTGAACCTCTCCAGGTCTCGCTTTCCTCCGTGGTAAGATAAGGACAATCACAGTACCAACCACTCTGGGTTACGGAGAAGGACTCATGGAGGTAATGCCTATAAAAGCCCTGAGAAAGGTACCTGGCGCTTCATAAGCAGAGCCTCTGGGATTTGAATCTCAGCGTGTCTGGGTCCAAGCCTCCCCCTCCAATACTTTTCTTAATCTTGCCATGTTTGTAATTCTAACTAATTAATATTAATTAATCACACAGTTAGAATTACAAATACAGCATGTGCTGGTTCAGTGGTAGAACTCTCACCTTCCGCACAGGAGACCTAGGTTCGATTCCTGGCCAGCGCGCCTCATGCACAGCCATCACTTATCTGTCAGTGGAGGCTTGTGTGTTGCTGCAATGCTGAGCAGGTTTCAGCAGACCTTCCAGACTAAGACGGACTAGGAGAAAGGCCTGGATATCTACTTCTGAAAATAAGTCATAAAAACAAAAACCCCATGGATCACAACAGTTTGATCTGCAACCAATCGTGGGGATGGCGCAGGACCAGGCAGCGGCATGTCACTCCACTGTGCAGGGGGGTCACCGTGAGTTGCGGGCTGACTCAAGAGCAGCTAACAACAACATTAACGTAGGCGCTTTTCTCCTCACAGATACTCACTTTCGCTCCTTCTTATCAGTTGGCTTGTTGATCTCCCTGAAGATGTTTGACAGCACTCCATCTGTCCAGTCCCGGGTGGTAGGGTCCAGGATGCCGTAGAGTTCTATGACACTCACGGCTTTGGGGTTCAGGATGTACAGCTTTGTCAGCAGTCCAAGCCTAAACCAGAAAGAAGCATCAGTCATGGTTCAGGGAGACTAAAGACACTGGGAAAACCACCTGGCCACCTATGTGAGGAATTGGAGTGGCACCTCACTAGATGTTTCGAGTCCAATCCAAAATTCAAAATGCAGTCCATTCAAACCCAAGACTGGGCTTTCCGCTCATGGTTAACAGCTTACACTAAACATAAAGGGACCACGATTCACTGAAAACAGGGACCACAACACAATTGAGGCCTGAATGGAAAACAGAGCTCTGCCTTGTCAGGCCAACAAAAAGCTCATTTCATGCATCTTTCATACTCATGTAGTCATAACTAAGTCATTAATATATTCATGCAAATTACATATTTAAAACTAAAAAAATGTATGTTATGTATTTGTGTATATTACATATTTGTGTAAATATTTCATTACTGGTGCATAGGACTTAATACTCAGACATCTAGATGATGTAACAAGTCTCTGAACTGCCCATGCTCACTCCCTGGTATTTACATGACAATACCTGCTCTGTGTTGTTGACTTTATAAATCATGGAGACAGGGCGTCTCCTACCCCAATGCCTGCAACACTGCCACATGATTAATTCATCTCAAGGAAACTAATCTTCACATAGACCAGGTTCATAATTAGTCAAAGAATACATAAATAATAACTGCATACATATACACACATATGTATGTGATAGTACTAGAAGTTACCTAACAGGAAATTAATCAGAGTAAAGAACGAGACCCAGGACGACTACGGCCCGGTCCACTCAGAGTTGGCTGCTGTCCACTGAGGGCTCAAATGAAACAGTAAAAGGATAAGGAGAACAAATGGCAGTCACATAATCATGAGACTTTACGAAAACTATCAAGAAATGAGGAGTCCCTGGGTGGCACAAATGGTTAAGCGCTCGGCTACTAATCGAAACCCTGCGGGCTAAAGTCCTCCCAGAGGCACCTTAAAAGAAAGGCCTGGAGATCTACCATCAAAAAATCAGCCATTGAAAACCCTTTGGAGCACAGTTCTACCCTGACACACATGGGGTTGCCATGAATCGGAGTTGACTCAACAGCAACTGGTCTGATTTTTTTTTTTTTAATCTAGGAATGATAAAGCGTCACAAAGATTATGATATTTGACTTCTGTTTTTGCTGGAATATGAGCATCCACTGAAGTATTTCTAAATCTAGCTACTGTTTAAGAGTGAAGTGAGACATCAGAAAATCCATTTTTAGTATATCAATATACTACAGACCTTCCTGGTCTTCTATATGTGAGTGTGAGACCATGTTTTCCTGCAACCAGAATGGCTCCTGCAGAGATGATGATAGTAGTAAGGTTACGATCGTGCCTTCCAGGAGGAGGCAACGCTCTCTTTCTGGTACCACAGCAGTGCTACAGTCTGATGGGGCCTGTTTTCCTGTAAACGGGCCATCTGAGCACCAGCAGAACAACTTACCTAGTTTTCAAAATACCCTTACAGGACATTTTATGAAATTCTCATTTCACAAATAATGTACTCACCGTTCGATGTGTGCACAGGTCACTATCTTGCATTCTAAAAAATACAAACCAAACCCACTGCCATGGAGTTGATTCCAACTCCTAGCAGTCCTACAGGGCAGAGTAGAACTGCCCCATAGGGTTTCCAAGGAGTGGCTGGTGGTTTCAAACTGCAGATCTTTTGGTTAGCAGCCAAACGCCTAACCACTGCATCACCAGGGCCCCAAAGTGTTAAATCAGCAATGAAACAAGCAAAGGTGCTCTGAGTCTAAAGGGGGGCTTCGCATACATGTACCCTTCCAGGAAATAAATCAGAGAGCAAAGCAGGCCTAGGGGATGCCTCCACCAACCAGTGCCCGCGGAGCCGCCCCTGCCGTGGGGGCCCTACTCACCTGGTCTGGGCCTGACACAGAGCATTGATGACCACCGACTTGCCCCCTCCCGTGGGCCCCACCACCATGGTCGTGTGGCGCGTCAACATGGTCTCGAACATCTGAACCACTTTATCCACCTGTGGGGCACACATGGGCAACTGGGTTAAAACACATCCTTTTTTTCACACAGCTTTATTGAGATGTAACTCACATACCATACAACCTGCCCATTTAGCGGGTACAATTCAGTGGTTTTTAGTATATTCACAAAGTGTGCAAATACCACCACACTCAATTTTAGAGCATTTTCATCACCCCAGAAAGAAACCCTGTGGCCAGTAGCTATTAACCTCTCCCCACCCCCCCACCCCGCTGCCCCAGGTTCCCTATCTCTCTCAGCCCAGCGCAATCGCTAATCTACTGCCTGTCTCTAGCGCCTTGTGTTCTGGCCATTACATATAAACAGAATCAGACAGTATGCGGCCTTTAGTGACTGGCTTCTTTCACTCAGGATCATGTCTCTACGCCTCATCCACTTTGTAGCAGCTGTCAGAGCTTCACTTCTTTTTACGACTAAGTAATATTCTATTAAGGAGCCCTGGTGGTGCGGTGGGTTAAGCGCTCGGCTGCCAACCGAAAGGTCTGCAGCTGGAACCCACCAGCCGCTCCGTGGGAGAAAGATGTGGCAGTCTGCTTCCCTAAAGATTACAGCCTTGGAAACCCTAGGAGGCAGTTCTACTCTGTCCTGTAGGGTTGTTATGAGTCAGACTCGACTCGATGGCACATAAGCACGACAATCTTCCATTGTGCATACGTACCACATGTTGTTTGTCCATTCACCTGTTGATGGACACTTGGGTTGTTTCCACGTTTTGGCCGTTGTGAGTAGCGCTGTATGAACACTTGTGTACAAGTTTTTGTGTGGATATCTTTTCAGTTCCCTTTGGTATAAACCCAGCATGGAATTGCTGGGTCAGACGGTAACTCTATGTTTAACTTATTGAGGACGTTTCAAAGTTAGACAAACGTTTACCCGTGGTTACCAGGGGGTAGGGAGGGGAAAATGGAGAATCATTGCTTAAGGGGCACTGAGATTCTGTCTGGGGTGACGAAAAAGTTGTGGAAATATATAGTGGTGATGGCTGCACAACATGGCAAACGTAAGTAATGTCACTGAACTGTACACTTAAAAATGGCTAAAATAGCAATTTTTTTGTCATACATATATATGTATCTTTTTCTTTTTAACCACAATTACTTTTTTTTAATCCCACGCCAGCAATATCTAATTAAATTTTATTAGCAACTGTGAGTCTCGAAAAAACGGGGCTGGGGGTAGAAAACATTTAGATAGTTGGGCCCCAAAACAAAATACTTCCGTCATGTGATCACACTGAGCCCACAGAAGATAACGTGAGCTCTCTTCTTCAGCATGTTTTACCTGAACTGGTAAGATGATGTAGCCATTCTCCTCCAGCACCTGCTCCACGGCGTCGTTGAAATCAGGGTAGCGAACGCGCGGGCAGTCGAGTCCAGGAAACAAGTCAGAAATCAAACCAAGGAAAAGAGGGACATCTTCAAACACAAACTTGGGCAAGTTCATGTCTCGCAGGGCCCTCATCAGCACCACATCCTAGAAGAAGTGGAACACAGTCGTTCTCACAAACACTTCCAACAGGACCATGTCCTAGGAGAAACAGAACACACTCATTCTCACAAACATCTCCTACAGGACCATGTCCTAGGAGAAACGAACACACTCATTCTCACAAACACCTCCAACAGGATCACGTCCTAGGAGAAATGGAAAACACTCATTCTCTCAAACACCTCCAACAGGGCCAGGTGCTAGAAGAAACGGAACACACGCCTTCTCACAGACATCTCCAACAGGGCCAGGTGCTAGGAGAAACGGAACACACTCGTTCTCACAGACACCTCCAACAGGGCCAGGTGCTAGAAGAAACAGAACATACTCCTTCTCACAGACACCTCCAGCAGGGCCAGGTGCTAGGAGAAATGGAACACACTCGTTCTCACAAACACCTCCAACAGGGCCATGTCCTAAGAGAAATGGAACACACTCGTTCTCACAAACACCTCCAACAGGATCATGTCCTAGGAGAAACGGAACACACTCATTCTCACAAACACCTCCAACAGGACCATGTCCTAGGAGAAACAGAACACACTCATTCTCATAAACATCTCCAACAGGGCCATGTCCTAAGAGAAACAACACACTCGTTCTCACAGACACCTCCAACAGGGCCAGGTGCTAGAAGAAACAGAACATACTCCTTCTCACAGACACCTCCAACAGGGCCAGGTGCTAGGAGAAATGGAACACACTCGTTCTCACAAACACCTCCAACAGGGCCGCGTCCTAAAAGAAATGGAACACACTCGTTCTCACAAACACCTCCAACAGGATCATGTCCTAGGAGAAACGGAACACACTCATTCTCACAAACACCTCCAACAGGACCATGTCCTAGGAGAAACGAACACACTCATTCTCACAAACACCTCCAGCAGGATCATGTCCTAGGAGAAACGGAACACACTCATTCTCACTAACACCTCCAACAGGACCATGTCCTAGGAAAAACGGAACACACTCATTCTCACAAACACCTCCAACAGGGCCATGTCCTAAGAGAAATGGAACACACTCGTTCTCACAAACACCTCCAACAGGACCATGTCCTAAGAGAAACGGAACACACTCGTTCTCACAAACACCTCCAACAGGGCCAGGTGCTAGGAGAAACGGAACACGCTCATTCTCACAAACACCTCCAGCAGGATCACGTCCTAGGAGAAACAGAACACACTCATTCTCACAAACACCTCCAACAGGGCCAGGTGTTAGTCTGGAAACCCTCCCACAAAATATGAAATGATGCCAAGCACTGCAAACACGGTCTCCAGAGGAACACACGAGCCTCCTGCCCACAGAGCAGCATTTGCTGAGCTGTGCTTTGCAAAAGAAACATAAATGTTCTTATTCTTATTGCAAAGAGGGGAAAAAAAAACCTCATGGTCATGCGTACATGAGAATTTTGTTTATCCCCATTCCTCCACCCCGCCATTCTGAGATTGCTGAAGGATTATGAGTATTGGAGCATCATTAACTTTGGTATTGGAGTGAGGACACTGAACTTGACCTGAAGGTAGTAAGTCCAACTAGAAGAAAACAATATCATGAGGAAGAGATCAAATTAAGTCCGGACAACGAAATGAAGTTACAGTGAAGACTTAAAACTTGCAGTGAGTATCTTTTGGTGCTCAGTCTCCATCCTAAAATTTATTAAATACACAAGAACCGAATGAATAGCCAGTGAACGGCCCTACCTCCCTAAGGTCAGAGGAGCCCCTTTTCAGCTCGCCAGCCATAACCAGCACCGACTTCAGGGCTCGGAGCCCAAAATCATAATGATGTTGCTTGGAGAGCTGCTCCCGGGCCAGCTTGTACAGGACAGTCATCTTTTTGGCCAGAGTCTTTTTGATAAAAGATGATGGGGAAAAAATTAAATAATGTGGAAGGAACAGAACATCATCATACAAAACCCAGAAAATGGACATAAAGGTGCTCAGATGAAGCTGCTCTATAAATAAGCACAGCTTGTCTCTAACTTTCAGAAATACCAGGGTGGGCATTTCATTTTTAACTATTAAAAACCGGGAACTAATTTAAAAGAATGCCTGCCTTTCCAAAATCTGATGAGTCTCCTTAAACGCTGGGGGAAATCTTTTTTTTTTTTTTAAAGCTGGGAGAAATCTTAACTACTTGAAATACCAGAACCCAACTTCTAAAATTATAGGAATCACCCTTTGAAAATTTGCTTCTCATTTATTTTGACCTAAGCATATCATTAAAGTTTCTCCTGCAACCACTTTGAGGATGAATCAAGAATCAAAGCCTGCTGGTTCGAGAGGCAGCATGGGAATTTTGCTAATGAAAACTAAGAATAAGGACAAGAGATCTCACTGTTCAAACTCAAAATCCAGACATGACAGACAGCAAGAGCGTTGTTTTTTTTTAATGTTGCAGAAAAGCAACCTAACAACCCTTTATGATAAAAATATTGCCTATTTTGTACCTTTTACAGAACCTTCTGGAAAAACGTACGTGCACACTTTTATACAGACATACGAAAAAAGAAGATAAGGGAGGTACCTGCAACTTTTTAAAAAGTTACGTACTCTCAAGGACATTAGGCTGAATGGAAAAGCCCATTCCAAGGGGTTACATATTGTATGTTTCCATTTACATAACATCTCTAAGTGATGCAATTACAGTGATAGGAAGAAGACCAGCAATTGTCAGAGGTTAGGGTTAGCGGGAGGCTGTGACTGTTATGGGTAACATGAAGGACTAGGATTGGCGGGAGGGTAACACAAGGAAGTTTCTTTGGTGATGGAACAGTTCTGGGTCCTGATTGTGGGGACGGTCACTCAACTCTACACACGTGATAAAATGTCACAGAACTATACACACACACACAGAGAAAGACACAGTATATGTGTAAGAAAGAGAGAGAACGTAAGAGAGGGAGAAGATATAAAAGACAACGTAAGAGAGAAAATGTAAGAAAGAGAGGATATGAGACAGTGGGAGAGAGAGAAAATGTTAGAGAGAGAGAGAGAATGTAAAAACTGGTGAAATCCAAACAAAAACTTTACCTGGGATAATGGTACTGTCCAACATCGATTTCCTGGCTTGACAATGTATTATGGCTGTGTAAGATATTCTCACTGGGGGAAGCTGGGGGAAGGGTACATGGGAACTCTCTATACTATTGCTGCATCTTGTGAGATTTTAAATTTTTGCAAAAATATAAAGTCTTAATTTTAAAAAAAGGTGGAGGAGACAGAAATAAAGCAAAAAACAAAACAACAGAAAAAACAACACATAGAACTAGACCTTTGGAAAGCCCTGGTCTGGAAGCAGACTGGGTGGAGCTCTGGGGCACTCCATGCTCACCTTGGCCCACAGGAAGCCCTCTGAGAAGAGCATGATCTCGCAGATCTGCTGCATGTCAGGCACAATCACCACCACGGGCCGAAAGAGGGCCTTCACCGACTCGGGCAGCTCTGTGCGGCCCGCGTAGCCAGGGTTCATGGTGATGAAGATGCCCATTCGCGAGTCCAGGGTGATCTCCTGCCCCTCAAACTAGAGGACAAGAGGAAGGAAAAGAGGCTGTGGGTGAGCCGAGAGGCTATTTTCCATGGGCCTGAGACAGAGGGCATCTTGGTCTCTCTTCCCTCTCCAGGTGTTAAAGGCAGAGTCTTCTTGCTTAAAGCCCAAGTCTACAGGAGAGGGCAAGTCTTAGGTGACACCAAACTCTGATCCGAGCCAAGGCCCCGCTGACCTGTAAACGCTGATGTTGGGGAAGGAGAGAAGCCTGGGCTGAGTCGAAGCCCTGCCACGTATCCACTGTGTGACCCCGACAGGTTATTTAACCACTCTGAGTCTGTTCCCTTTTTTGCAAAACATACCTTGTAGCATGGTCATGACTGTTAAATAAGACAATATATGTACGATCATCCAGCCCAACACTTTGCACAAAGCAGATCTTCACTAATGTTTGTTTCATTAATGTTAGTTAATAAAAACTTAATTTTTGTTAATGTCATCCCCTTCCCCATTCCCATCCCCACCCCAACCTGGATGCCTGGACCTAATGTGGTTGGTTCCCTTTCCTAAAGAACTGTACCTCAGTATCTTTCTAGAAACCAGTCCTCATGCCTCCAGCTGCCCCAGGTACAAGCGAACTGCAGGAATCTCTACATTTTCTCACCTCTTTAGCCTTAGGCTCCAACAGCCACCTGTCAGGTGGTCATACTGTGGTGGCTGGCATGTTGCTGTGATGCTGGAAGCTATGCCATTGGTATTTCAAATACCAGCAGGGTCACCCATGGTGGACAGGTTTTAGTGGAGCTTCCAAACTAAGACAGACTAGGAAGAAAGGCCTGGTGGTCTAATTCCAAAAATTAGCCAATGAAAACCCTACCAATCATAACTGAATATTATTGTTCAATGTAGTGCTGAAAGATGAGCCCCCTAAGTTAGCAGGCACTTAAAACACACAGTGGCTGCAACAATGGACTCAAATACACCAATGATCGTGAAGATGACACAGGACGGGGCAACATCTTACTCTGCTGTACATGGGTTGCCATGAGTCGGAGCCCACTCAGTGACCTGACAACAGCTAACAAGCCTAAGGTTCAGCCTCAATTGTCTCTTGGCAAACTTTTCTCTCTACTAAGAGTTTACTATTTTGTTTCTTTCATTTGTCCATCAAATATACAGAGAGCACAGAAACTTTTATTTTTAAGGGGCACAGGCTGCCTCAGTGACAAGAGGGCAGCCTAGCAGATAGCTGGTGCTCCCCAGAAAAGGAAGCCACTGTCGTGTTTCCAAGTCCACACTCGAGAGAATTCTCACCACTCCCCAGGAACCCACACGAGGCCCAGCAGGCCTCTGGAGTCACAGGGCTGCCTCTGCAGATGACTGAGAGGCTTGCTCTTAAAAACACAGCTTCTGGAAACCTAAATGCATTGCCAGTTAAATTTCCCTCCCGTGGGAGCAATAAGCTCAGCCCTAAAAACATTTCAGAAGGTCTAAGGAAAAAAAAATCTATCCAGAAGCTTTACTAGAATCCTGAACATTAACAGTGTCCGGTGTAGACAATCCCTTGACAAGCAGCCTCACTGAGTCTGGGGAGAAAGCAAGCAGGAAGTCATGGCCAGTCCAAGCTGAATTTTGGTCCTGAGACTCCTGATCGGGCTCTTTTGGGTTTTGGAGGATGAATAGGAGTTTTCAGATGAAGGGGAAGAAAGGACAACTCCAGGCAGACATACGGTGTCAGAGGGTGTCATGTGTCTCTGGAGTGAGTGACAGAGCGTGACAAGAGTATAGAGCATGAGGTGGGTGAGGACAGCGGCAGGAGCAGCATGTTGGGCCTGCAGGGTCCCTGGTGCAGGCAAATGGCCAACCCACACTGGTCTTTGTTGCCAAAAAACCCACTTCTGTGCTACCAAAATCACATAACATCGTGTTTCTCCAAATTCAGATCCAGCTTCCTCTGGTGGAACTTAATGAGCATTTCTCAGACTGCAGTCTGCAAATGTATTCTTGGAGGGGGAGACTGGTGAACTCTCAAAAAATTTTTACCTTTTGTCTTTTCACTTTGATAATAACATAAAAAATTCTCTGATGATAATTTGGGAAAATCTGACCATCTCAGTTTGAAAACAAAAACCTGGCAAACCTTCAGTAGAAAATTGGGTCCGGTATTTCAAAGGTACTATGGCAAGTCTCCCGGGTACCTGACGGAGCAGGCTTCACGCCGATCGTTACCTGGAACGTGGTGAACTGGTGAATCAGAGCGTTTCGGATTGTCTGAATCTGAGACGAGATCACCGAGAGCACAGAGGCATCGATCCGATTAAATTCATCGAAGCAGCCCCACGCCCCACACTGGGCCAGGCCAGAGAAAATCTTCCCAACTGCCTAGAGTGAAAGAGACGCCCGCACAAGGGCATTTTCATCTCTAAAGCCGCAAGCGACACATTTATGAGTACATTTTCTAAATTAAAGCAAATAATCAGATATTCTGATCAACAGAAAAGCAGCCAGTTGGCCACCCAACTAAGATTTTTCTGGCGAGACTTCCGAGGCCACTGATAAAATTTTACAAATCAAGGGTTTTTGTGTAAAACTCCAGATTTCTGGCTTCTCTTGAGATATTGGAAAATTTAGCAACATGGATCCACTCTCCCTAAAGGCAACAACTGGCCGAAGCTGAACATGCCACCCCCTTCAGACGGAGCATTGTTCTCCAATTGGCTGCAGTCCCCACCCCTCTCTATTGTCTATGTTGGTTGCTTCCCTCATTTACATTATGTACCTGACCCCTGTAGGCATTAAGTTTGGGGCTGTTGCACTACTAACAAAACAGACACATTTAAGTTCTGAGACTCTGAAGATGAAGGCTTTCTGCTGTATCCTTCCATCCACACCATGTCATTTCACGGATGAGTGTGAGATGAGATGCCTTCCTGTCATGGACGCATTGAGCTCTCTGCCTAATGAGATAGGAGCTAAATGACACCAAGGCCTTACTTTGTAATCCATGCCTTCACCACAGTTGGTCACAACGCAGAGCAAGCCCAAGGCTTTGGCAAGGTCCTTGGTGGTCTCGGTTTTGCCAGTACCTGCTGGGCCAGCAGGAGCCCCACCCAGATACATGGACAGCGCCTGTTATAAGCCAAATGCAAAACATTTGTCTTCTGATCTAAGTAAGGAACCAGATGTCATTTCCAAGTTTAGCAGCGTTACAATATATGTGAAATATACATATTTGTGTGTGTGTGTGTGTGTGTGTGTGTGTGTGTGTGTGTGTGTGTGTGTGTGTGTGTGTGTGTGTGTGTGTGTGTGTGTGTGTATATCAATGGACGAGTTCACTCACCCTTGTTGACAATCACCAGTATAAACATTCCTTTTCTGAGTTTCTCCGTTGACTCCTACTGGCCCTTATTACATGGGGACCAGTGAATCAGGGACTAAGCAACAAGCTGGAAACTGGTCTGGTGACGGCTCTGAGGTCGATGCTCCAATGGCACCAGAGATGATGCCATGGGCACATGTACATCTGTGCACTAAAGGATTAACCTTACCCAGAGAAAGGTTTGGCCCTTTGGCCTTGGCTCCTGGGAGGTGACCAACAAACTCTTGGAATGTCCTGCCTGATAAGAGTGTCTTTGTTTACCTGGGGCCTTGGGCCATGCCAGATAGTTTAACAAAGTGATTTCTGGTAGGGACCTTGGACCATGCAGTTATCAGCTTGATCCCTAGAGGTGCTGGAGACTAAGGTCAACCATGTGGGCAGTCAGCCATGTCTATGTGACCAACTCCCCAATAAAAACTCCAGACACCAGGGCTTGGGTGAGCTTCCATGGTTGGCCAGACTCCATACATGTTGCCACACATCATTGCTGGGATAAATAAGGGCTGTCCGGATGACTCCACTGGGAGAAGACAACTGGAAGCTCCACACCTGGTCTCTCCTGGACCTTGTCCTGTGCGACTTTCCCCATTGTTGCTTTTGATCTGTATCTTTTCACTGTAATATACCATCACTGAGTATAATGGCTTTGCTAAGTTCTGTAAGTCCCTCTAGTGAATTACTGAACCTGGTCTCGGGAGCCTCCAGATCTTGTAACATCCCAATCCCAAACAGTGGCAACTGGATCATTTTCCAAATTGAAAATCCTTTATAGATTAAAGTAATGATATCCCTTACTATCATAATTATCATAGGCATGCTTAGAGGAAAATGCATAACCCCAAGGTAAATCACAAACCACTGAAGGCAAGTCGGCAATCACCTGAGTGAGAGTTAGGTAAATCCGGTCCGTAAGCGGAGTGATGACCAGCCTCCCATTCAAACCCATGTACTCGTAACCGTAGCCGAAGGTCCCCGTGCACTGGCGGATGTTCAGTTCATCTGGTTCTCGGTCCCAGTAGAACCGTAGTTGGCTTTCCCATTCAAACTCCCGGGCCTCAAGAATGCTAGGAGGTGACAAACAGGAGATGAGTGAAGAGGGAGATGTGATGGGAGAGAAGACAGACACGAAAGAGGAAGGGGAGATGGCTGAGAAAGGCCAAAGAATGATAAAGAATATTCTTGGGAGGTACTCACCTGCCTCTTATGAAAGAATCAACTATATCTCTGGCATGCACGTCGATGATGAGAACGGTGTTGTACTTTTTCCTGTCATTTTTGCTCAAGGACATAGTAATCCGAGTTACCAACTCATCAATTTGCTGGTGCATTTTCTTGCCATAGTTCTTCATGGCCTGCTTTTCCCCTTGCTTCACTTTGCGGAACACATCCTCCACCTCCCAGGTCCACCACACCTGGCTCGCGGCCAGCACCACCATGCCTTGGTACATGAGCATCCAGTCGACTCTATGCAAAATCACACTTCTAAGAGATGTTTTCCAGGGATTGATAGCAACAACAGTCCCATTAAGAATTTATTTCTTTATAAAGCTTCAGGACCTTGTTTTTGACAATGGATTCTTAGATATGACACCAAAAGCACAAGTAACAAAAGGCAAAATAGATAAATCGGACTTCTTAAGAGACAACCTACAGACTGGGAGAAAATATTTGGAAACCATATATCTGATAAGAGTTTAATATCAAGAACATATAGAGAACTCCTATAACTCAGTGACAAAAAGACAAACAATCCAATTTAAAAATGGGCAAAGGACTTGAATAGACATCTCTCCAATGAAGATACAAAAATGGCCAATTAGCACTGGAAAAGATGCTTAACGTCATTAGTCATTAAGGAACTACAAATCAAAACCACAAGAAGATACCATTTCATAACTACTAGGATGGCTATAATCAGAAAAATGGAAAATAACACCCTCCTTGCTGGCAAGGATGAGGAGAAACTGGAACCCTCACCCGTTGCCGGGGGAAGTATATAGCCAGAGAGCTATAACAAAGCTGGCGGAGATCCAGAAGGTGGTGCTAAAGTGGTTAACGAGGATGCGCCTTGCATATGATGACACATTTGGAGAGGGAGAAGCTGAGGAGACGCCATCAGAGACAATAAAGTGGCCCAGGGCAGAGCCAAGGTGAACACAAATGGTGTTTGTCAAATCCCAGGACACTGGGGCTCTTCAGGAGCTAGATGACACCTGGGCCTCCCTGAACCTGCTCAAATAGATTGGTATGCTCATTTCAGCTGATTTCATCCCATGAGAACACACAGGTAAAGGGCGTGGGGTGGAGGAAAGGGGCGGCACAGACATTTTTAATTCATCAGGTTGCATTTCCTTCCTTTGTTTCCACCAACACAGCACCGCCCACCAAACAATCCAATCCACAGCCGATCGTGGGGATGGCGCAGAACGGACAGTGTTTCACTCCGTCGTGCATGGGGTCACCGTGAGCTGGGGGTCGACTCCTGCAGCAGCTAACGACAAGCTCCGGAGGGATGCCAATGCTGCTTGTCCAAGGACTCCACTTTGAGAAGCATTACACGAGATGCTAATTTACAGACAGACACCAGCTAACTCAGCTACCGAGAGATAAGAAAACTTCCTTTGAAGCAATGGTCATACTCTGAACCCTGGGGAGCCCTGGTGGTACAGTGGTTAAAGCGTTTGGCTACTAACCAAAAAGGTCAGCAGTTGGAATTCACCAACGGCCCCTTGGAAACCCTATGGAGCAGTTCTATTCTGTCCTACAGGGTTGCTATGGGTCAAAATCGACTTGATGGCAACAGGTTTGGGTTTTTTTTGGTATGACTACGAACATGACAAAGGGGCACATTCCACACCTATAGCCTTACCTGCTTCTGTCTTCACAGTATCTAAAGATAGCCTCTTTGGTAATCAGTCTGTTTGTTCTTCTCATCTCGTTGAGAACCGCTGTCATCCAGTCCTCCACACGCCCCTCTGCCCGGATGACCTTGCGGAACTCCATGACTTCTCCCTCCGCTGAGATCATAGCCGACACGAGCTTCTCCCCACTGTCCCCATCGTTGAACCTCAGGGCCACTATGTTGTCATACATCTGCAATACAGGGGGAAGCCACCCTGAAACACTTTACTGGAGCCCTGGAATCAAAGAGCAGCCTGTGGTGCCCCATCAGAACTAAGAGGGTGCAAGCAACAGCAACAGGTGAGCCGGGATCACACACCAAATAATACTCGCCCAGTGGTTTGTTCACTTGACACATGCTTATTGGATACTTTTGTTGTACCCTGCACTATATAAAACCCTGTGTGGATAGAAGAAAGAAAAAGAAGATAGACTCCCTCCCCTTGAGATTCTAGTGTATATGCTGCTATGGGGCTGTATCTACACATGTATACCACTTTAACACGGAAGAGGTGGGACAACCTGGTGAGTAAACACCCTACCAGTACTAGTCCCAGTTGCCGATGAGTCAGTTCTGACTCATGGTGACCCCACGTGTGTAAGAGTAGAACTGTGCCCCTTACGGTTTTTAATAGCTGATTTTTCAGAAGTAGATCTTGTCTTTGGAGGTGCCTCTGGGTGGATCTCAATCACCAACCTTTCAGTTAGCAGCTGAGCACGTCACACCCAGGGATACCGATTGAACACCCCAGGGCTGAGGAATTTGAGATCTATGGCTGAATCCCAGCCTCCCATTGTCCTGCTGGGTAACCGTGGGCGAGCTGCTTCTCCTCAGCCATGGATGGAATGAACATAATTATGGCACCTACAAAGTAGGGTTATTAGGAAGATCCAGTGGGACAAGGCGTGTGAAATGCTGCCACGGAGACCACTTGGTATTTATTGGTTATTATCATTGTTACTCATCAGAATGACATTCCAGAAATGATAGTGTTCATGATATAAGACAAGGCACTCTGCAAATCAGAAAGAGAGGAGGGAAAGGCAACAGACCTCAAAGAATAAAATCAGAGGTTTGCAAAAGGGGCTAACATTGAATTAAGCACTTCTAACTACACATGAGGAGCCCTGCTGGCCCAGTGGCTAAGAGCTTGGCTGTTAACCAAAAGGTTGGCAGTTCAAATCTACTAGCTGCTCCTTGGAAATCCCATGGGGCAGTTCTACTCTGTCCTATAGAGTCACTATGAGTTGGAATCAACTCAACGGTAACTGGTTTTAACTACACACGTTTCTATAACAGCAGAATATTTGTTTATACAGGTAGAAACAGAATATATAAGCTTCCTCTTGAAGAAAGGAAACCAAGAAATGGAAACTTGACCGTAGTGCTTTGTTTATTCAGAATACAGGGATGATGCTAGGACAGTCGTTCTCAACCAGGGGCGAGTCTGCCTCCCAGGGACACTGGGCAATGTCTGGGGACATGGTGGTTGTCACAGCTGGAGGGGCGCTACTGGCATCTAGTGGGGAGAAGCCAGGAAGCTGCTCAACATCCTGCAGTGCACAGAACAGCCCCACCACAAAGAATGATCTGGCCCCAGAAGTCAACGGTCCAGAGGTGGGAGGCCCTGCTCTAGGCTGGTGCTCAGCACAGAACTTCAGTCAGCAGAAAGACCACATCTGGCCGTGCTCCGCTCTCTATCACACAAGACAGACTGCTCGGCTGTGTTTCCTGCCATTCAATACTGTCCATGCATACACGTGTTTATATAAAAGTATGAAGACATGGACCGAAGGAATCCCAGCGAGCTCATGACAGTGGCTGCTAAGTGGAAGAACTACGGATGGGGACAGGAGACAAAGGGTGTGTCAACTTTATTTATATGACTTTATTTTAGAAGAAAACAGACAAAGAAAATATAACTAAATGTTAACAATGGGGAATTCTAGGTGGCTGGTAAGGTAATTTAGCCAACAGTGTGAGGCAGGCACTGTTCTAAGTACTTTACTAACATTAACTAGTTTGATTCTTATAACAACCCTATCGAGGCAGGTAACTACTGGGGTTATTCCTATTTGCAGAAGAGGAAACTGATGCCCAGAGAGGTTAAGTAATTTGCCTACAGTCACACAGCAAATCAGTGTACAGCCAGGAATTGAATCCACGCACAAAACCACCATCCTATAATACCTCTCAGCTTACTTTACTAGTTTTTTGTATTCCTGGTTTTTTTTTAAATATATAGATAGGGTAACTGATGTCCAGAGAGGTTAAGTAATTTGCCTCTGGTTACACGGCACATCAGTGTAGAGCCAGGAAAACCACTATCCTATATTTCCTCTGGAGCCCTGGTGGCGCAGTGGTTAAGAGCTCGGCTGCTAACCAAAAGACTGGCAGTTCGAATCTACCAGCCACTCCTTGGAAACCCTATGGGGCAGTTCTACTCTGTCCTATAGGACTGCTATGAGTTGGAACCGACTAGACGGCAATGGGTTTGGGTTTTTTTGTTTTTTTTGTGTGTTTGTTTGTTTTTTTGGTATATTGCCTCTATTATTTGTCTGTTTTGTTTTGCTTGTATTTCTCAAAAAAAAAAAATGTTGTTTTTAGAGTGAAGAAAAAGAGCAACAAGTAACAGCTGAGTTCCGGTGTAATTTCAGACTAAGTGAATTTTATCAGATTTATGCTTCAAATAAAAACCTCAGGTAGCATTTCAGTCTGAAACCTCTGGGCTGAACATAACTGCAAAGGGAATTGAAGCACGTAAAGACAAATCACAGAGATGAAGCGAGACGCTCCCCGTGTGGAGCCGGAAGAACCGACCTTTATCATGTGCTCCTGGACAGAGAGCGGGTCGCTGTTCCCCAGGATGCTGAGCAGCTCATCGTCGGAGATGAAGAAGAACCTTGGGAAGGCGTTCCGCTTTGAATCTAAGTAGTCATTCAGACTCTTCTGACACTTCTCCAGGCCCTCGCTGATGTTCTGCAGGTCATTGAGACGGTTCGGGGCTTCACAGCACTTCTTGATCACGGGGTCTTTTAAAGTCTCCGCCATTATCTGGAAAGGACAATAAGAGAAATATTAAGCAGAGTAAACAGAAGCCTTGCTCTTATTCCCAGAATGGGCATGGCAGAGAACAAAACCAGAGCCTTTCCAAAGGCTAAATCTATCAAGTTTTTAAACACCCTCAGCACCTTCTAACATATTATGTACAATATACTTATGTCTGATGGTTCTTTTTTTTGCTGCCTCTCTGCTAAATGGCCACTGGCACAGGACAGGGATTTTAATCCATTTTGTTCTCGACTGGGCACCAAGTACCTACAACAGTGCCTGCAGATAGTACTCATCAATCAGTATCCTTTGAATGAACGAACCCAGCAACTCCACTTTGAGCAATTTGTATGTGCCAGGATGTTCACTGTAGCACCCCTTACAAGAGCAGAAAAAGAACGAAAGAAACAACCCACATGTCCAACAATTGAGAATTAGGTAAATAATTTGCACCATTGAATACTGAGCAGCAGTCAAAAACAATCTTAGATGTTTATTTATCGAAACGTATGTCAATAAAAAAAACTCATTATGTTGAGAAGAATGACTTCATTTTTGTAGACTATCTATTCGTTTATGTATCTATTCATATGTTCACATAACAACAGAACAAACAATGGAATGATACATGCCAAACTGTTACTAGTGGTTATCTTGGGTGACAGGCTTGACATTTTTTCTTGCATATTTATAATTTCAAAATTATTCTATCACAAGTAGATATCTGACGTGTTTAATTCTTTTTTAGTTTTGAAAAAAGTATGCAAATAAATAAGAAAAAAATTACTAATTATAGTCGATAAAGTAGACCAAAACATGAACTGACCATTCATAAGTTAAGAATACAACAGCCTTGGCAGGTGGCGAAGTACTTGAGGTTGGGCAGCCAGTTTGGGTTAAAACCTGGCCCCACTAATTACTAGCAGCAGAGATGGCAGACAAAACCCTTTCTGGAAAGGGCCTGAAAATGAGAATACTCTTTCAGGGGCAATTCACTTTCTAAAAATTTATATTTATCTTAAATATGGAAAAAGCCTTAGGGTCAAACTTGCACTCTATTTATGAAAGCAAAGAATTCAATTCAACCAAAATGTCCAACTATGAAAGAATAATTATATAAACTAAGGCCAAGCCACTCACTGGAATATTATATAACCCATACCCATTACTGTCGAGTTGATTCTGACTCATAGAGACCCTATAGGATAGAGTAGAACTGTCCCATAGGGTTTCCAAGGAGCAGCTGGTGGATTCGAACTGCCAACCTTTTGATTAGTAGCCAAGCTCTTAACCACTGTGCCATCAGGGCTCCAATACTGTATTATATAAATATTATATTATATAAATATATTATACCATATTATATAAAGTCATTAAAATATTTTTTCAGATGGTTGCATAATATGAAATGTTTTTCATAATATTATGAGAATATTACAAGATATAAAATTATTTGCAATATGATTATAATTGTATATTTTAAGCATATATACATATAAAAAAGGTAAAAGAAATATATGGCATATTACAGTGATCATGTAAAGGGTACGGAGTCAGGAGAGATAAATTTTTCTACTTTTCTATATCTTCTAAATTTTTTAAACAAGTATTACTTTTATAATAAAATATTTTTAAAGTCACAGCATCATATATCAGCATGTAAAGATCAAACAGAAGTTTTTACTAAACAGATTAAGGCCATATATAATGATGGGGAAAAAATCGAGAAGATAATAGAGAAATATTACATGTAAACACAAAATTAAAACTATCTCAAATAACTATCCTTCTTTGGTGACTAAAACAGAAGCCAGTCACTTGCCCTTTTAAAAACTTTATCGATGTTGTCAAACTTCTTCGCCTCGTCTGGAAGTTGGGATCTTATATCTCCACCAATAAAAATGCTTTCAAGGTACATCCATTTTCGCTGAACGAGCATCCAGATCTGTAAGTGCAAAATGTTAACATCAGCATAGGTAACCAGGTGCCTCCAGGTTTGTAGAACAAAAGCCCACTCAAACACAGGAGGAATTCAAATCAACTTAGGTCAAAGGACTCTCCATTCCAAATACACAGGAATGCTAGGTAAAGCATAATTAAAGATTTTACACACACAGCCACACTCAAATTCCACACCAGCCTGGGCTGTAACAGGAAGGAAGCTTCTAGTTGTGAGCAGAGGTTGGAGGCCCGTGACCCACAAAGGTCAGGCACAAAACTGTGTAGAAGGTCATGCAAAAAGCAAGCCAAGCAAACCCATGCATTGTCGGGGGGCAGGCCTGATAGCCCTCCCAGCAGTGAGCTAGGTCTGGAATCATCCCACCCAAAGTTCAGGGTGTGGCCAGGGATGAGCCACTTGCCTGTGGCCTGTGGAGGAAGAAAGGCAGCCACACAAAAATAACAAGTTCAGCCCGGGTTGTACGCAGGGGTCTGGATTAGAATTTCCCATGAAGCAGGGAAGCCCGGAGCTGTCTAATATAAGAGCTTGTCTGAAGTTGCCCAATGCTACAAGCCAGGTTGGAGAAATGGCGAAAAAAAACATGATAAAGTGAAAAAGCACAGGAAAAAAAATTGTGTACGATGAACTAAAAAATAAAATCCAGTGCCTGGATCAACAGAGGAAAAAGGAGAGTTAGGAATAAGAGGAGGAAATGAATGTGTGGCTAATGACCTCAGTGAACAACTGCCTCCTTTGCCATCAAACCGCAAGAACTGCATGGTACCCAGCTATCATTACTGAACATTTTGATCAAAGATTCCAAGAAGAATCCTGATCAAAAGGGGTAAAAGGCAGAACAGAATTTCAAATTCTCATGGACTCTAGACTTTCTGGAGCCATGGAGACTGGATGAACCCCTGAAACTACTGGACCTGAGATAATCTTTAAACCTCAAACCAAAAATATCCGGTGACATCTTAAAACTGAACAGTTTAGCTTAACTAGTAAAAAATGTCTGCCTTGAGCATTAGCTGTTTTAAGAACAACCTATATGGAATTAAAGTGACAACAGCAACTCGAAAGATTAGATAAGAACCTTAGGGGGCAGTGAGCTTATGTTCATGATGAAGGAACAACTCATAAAACGAGGGTAAGAATGGTTGTACAACTCGAAGAAAGTGATCAAAGTAACTGAATTGTACACGTAGAAATTCGTGTGTTTTGCTGTGTACATTCTGAACAATAAAAAAATAAAACCACAGAGCAGAGATAAACCCACCACCATGAGAGATAATCAGCAGACATAAAAGAGGAAAATTCTCACCTAAGAAAGTAAAAAATTATAGAGAAATATGAAAAGGACTTTAAAATAAGTATGCTTAAAATTTTCAATGTGAGAAAAGAAGAGTATCCTTGCAACAAGAACAGGACAGTATTAAACAAGAACAGGGACATGTGAAAATGAGCCAATTAAGAATCTTGGAAATTAAAAATACATTCATTGAAAAAAAACTCAGTCCACATACTCTAATCATGTGCCTCTCCCTCTGAAATAAACCAAGACAGTGTAAGTGTGAAAGAGGACACTTAGTTTCTAAGTATAAAATATTCTCAAATAAAGATTCTTTTCTGCTATTAATTGGTTCTCATCAACGCTTTATGTCTTTTCACTTGCCTCAATAACTTCCCCGATTAGAGAAAGTGTTTTTTCCCATTTATGAACAGTTTGCAGAAAAGGCCCCACAAATCTGCTCCCTGAGATGCTCTGCAGGTTGAAAGTGTTGTCATCGAGGCACTGGATAATGTCATCAACAGCTCCCAAGATGTAGCCTCGTTCTTGGGTGCCTTTATAATACTTGACCACGGTGAATTTCATATTTTCCCACGTGTCCAGTATCTCCTTCACAGCCTGGCCAGGAATATAAAAAGAATGATTCAGGTACATAAACTGAAAACACAGAACACCAACTCAACAACAACTTCCTTAGCATGCTTTGATCAACTCCTCAAGCTGGAGTCCTGGTTTTCTGAATAAAGAGATTTTGTCACAGTCAGTGACAGCAGCTATTATTTACACAGCATTTGCTGCTGAGGTAGGTATTATTATTATTCCCATTTTACAGAGAAGAGAGCTGGGGCTCAGAGAGGTAAAGCAGCTTGCCAAGTTCACTCAGCTACTGAGTGCCAGAACTACCCATAGTCTACCTCCAAAATCTGCATACTTATGCAGTCCCACCCCTGTGTTTTCTTTACTGGTAAGCAAGAAAATAAAATTACAAGATAATATGCCTATTATGATTCCATTTTCAAAAATCATCTATAACAAGGTATGTGTGTATACATATGTAAATGGATATACATGTGTATATACATACATATGTGTATGCATATATGTGTGCATATGTACTTATATACAAGTATCTGCATATGTATGTGTACGCATGTGTGCTGTGTATACTGGTGTATATGTTTGTATGTATGTGCATATATGTGTAGCATTGTATGTGTGTATCTGTATGTAGTATGCGTATGTGTGTGTTTACATGTGTGGATACATTTTAAAATATGGAAGGATAGACACCAAAATGTTAACAATAATTATCTTCAGGTGGTAGAATTATGAGTGATTTGTTTTCTCAAATTTTTACTATGAACATACATTATTTCCATAACAAGTAACTTGAAAATGAAACTAGACTTAGGAAAATAAAAAATGTGAGATAAAATTTCTTGTTCCAGAACAAATGAATATTACTCAAACACAACAGGTTCTAGAGCAAATACGTTTCCTCTCTGAATAAATACACATTTCTCTAGACTGTTCTATAACTGAAAGTAGCCTCACCTTCTCAATGGCGATCTCCTTGATGGCTGCTGTGACGATCTCATTGAGAACGTCTGCATGCTTGTCAAGTTCCATAGCAAACATATTTTCCAAGGTGAATGTGTCAGTCATTTCAAAAAAGACGCCTGTTTTTTCCATAAGATCTTTCCAATGCCTGAAAGTGCACCAACATCAAAATCACTATGCTTACTCGACTCAGTGATGGATTCAGTTATATCCCTTTAAATCACAGGACAAAGCCCATTATAAAAGCTTCTTGTGATGGAATTCTGGAATATGAGGACATCGTTGGAATTATATTTCCAAAGTTTTCTGAAATCCCATTGGCCACCAGAGCTAAACCCAGGAAACAACATGAAACATGGGACTGTGTGCTCTGGTCTGATACACAATGGCTGTGTAGAAAATACACAACTTTCATGTTTGGAAACTGCTTCAGTCATAGGCTCTAGACCAGTGATCCTGACCCTCACTGGACCATTTATCCTTTTGGAGACTCTGATGTAAACTGAATTCTTGCGTGTTGGTCATTAGTTAGTCAGCGCTGACTCCTGCGACGCAGTATGCCAGGTGCTGTGGGTACAACAGTGGCTAAGAAGATAAACTAGGCCATCAAAGAGAAAGTCTCAGCTTGGTGCTAATGCGTCTTTAACACCTCTTCACTGTTATTCACCTTTCCTAGAGGGTGAGTCATCAGCTCAGAGACAGGCAAGAGTTTTGAGTTAAAATTTAATTATTTGTTATAATTACTTTCTATTTATGGTAACTGCTTTTGATTATCAACTTAAAGTGGTAGTGTAAGTTTCTTTTTAAAAGTACATTCATTTAAGTAAAAAGGAAACAATCTGGTAAAAAGAAACTATTAAGTAATGATAGTATAGGTGTATTATGAGTTTCCTAGCGCTGCTCTAACAAAGTACCACAAACTGTGGGGTTTAAAACAACAGAAATTTATTTCTCACAGTCCTGGAGGCCAGAAGTCTTAAGTCAAGGTGTCGGCAGGGCCATGGTCCTTCCAAATGCTCTAGGGAAAGATCTTTCCTTGTCTCTTCCAGCTTCTGACGGTTCCTGGAAATCCGTGGAGTTCCTTGGCTTGTAGATGCATCACTCCAATCGCTCTCTCTGTCTCCACATGGCCTTCTTCCCTCTGTGTCTGACTCTGAGTATCTTCTCTTCTTAGAAGGTTACCAGTCATATTGGATTAGGGCCTACCCTACTTCACCATAACTTCATCTTAACTTGACCAATAACATCTTCAAACTCTATTTCCAAACAAGATCACGTTCACAGCTACCAGAGGTTAGGACTTCAACATATCTTTTGGAGGGACACAACTCAATCCATAACAATAGGTGATACCTAGATATGACAAAAATGGTGAGGAATGGCGAACACTTGAGAAACACTGGGTTATGGAATCAGAAAACGGGACATTTTAGCTAGAAAATGCTTACTTCTACCTAGTTTTACAAATAAGGAACCTGAAAAATGCAAAGGTAAGAATAAGTGCCCAGCTTACTCAGTAGAACAGTGACGAAGATGAACCTAGGATCCTTTCACCTGGGCCTCCTCTTTGTGAAGGAATATTCACAAGTGGAAGAGAAGTATTAAAGATCTATTAGCACTTAAGAGAGATTTTCTCAGTTGATGGACTCAGAAGGGCTGAAATGGGACTATAAAATGAAGTCAAAAGGGATAATAAAATGCAGTCGGAAGGGACTATAAAATGAAGTCGTTTAAGGTCTTTACCAAACTATAAATGACATAGATGGAGACATGACAGAAGAAGAGCGGAACACGGCGGAGAGAATGCAACCCACAAAGCTCCTACTAATCCCTGTCCGTGCACAGCCATATCCCAACAATCACAGACAAACCAGAGGTGGGCATCCTCCATCCCCCCCGCTCAGGACTGGTTCTTCCCATTAAATCACAGCAAGACCTGTGCCATCCAATATGTTAGCCACGGGCCACATGTGGTTATTGGGCATTTGGAACATGGCTGGTCCGAAATGAGATGTGCTGTAAGTGTAAAATACATACTAGATGCCGAAGCATTTCTTTAATGAAAAATAGCTCATAAAATAATGTTCAATATTGGTTACATGTTGAAATGATAATGTTTGAATATATTGGGTTAATTAATACATTTTCTTAAAATTAACGTCACCCTGTCTTTTTACTTTTTTAACGCAGCTACTAAAAAATTTTAAATTACTTGTGAGTCATATTATATTTCTGATCCAGATCCCTTGCTGCAAATCTTTATTTTTCTTGTTGAGAATATACACAGCAAAACATGCACCAATTCAACAGTTTGTCCGCGTACAGTTCAGCGACATTGATTACATTCTTCGAGTTTTGCAACCATTCTTATCCTCCTTCCTGAGTTGTTCCTCCCCCATTAACACAAATGCATTGCCACCTAAGGTTTCTATCTAATCTTTCGAGTTGTTGTTTTTAATTTGATCCCACATATATAGTTCTTAAAAGAGCATATTGCTCAAGGCAGACATTTACTAGTTAAGTTAAAATATTGTTTGGCTTTAAGAAGACGTCAGGATATTTTCGGTTTAAGGTTTAAAGATTATCTCAGGGCAGCAGTTTCAGGTGTCTATTTCTTTCTTTCTTTTTTTTTTTTTTTAATCTTCAAATGATATAACTACAAATGCCACTTTAAGCCTGACAGGGTTGTCTTTTTCTTTTTTTGAGATAAAATAATTTTATAGAAACTTTTACATGGAAACAATACTACAGAAATATTTCTTACCTATTTCAAGCCCCACATTGCTGCTGAAACCTTGTTCTTTCTCATTAGATCTAAGCAAAGATCCTGAACTAAGGACAAATTTAATCTAAAGTTTCCTTCCACATCCCCCCGTCAGTCTACAAGGGACAAAGCTCACCTGTCTCTTAGTGCTTCATGTTTCAGGTCCAAAAGTAAAGGAATCGAGTCTTTGAATGCCTTCATTTTTGCTTCCAAATAGTAGGACACTGACAGGCCTCGGACCGACCTGGGGAACTTTCTGAGAGTTCTGAGAAAATTATCAATCCCTTCCTGGAGAAACTGAACATTCAGGTTGATCCAGAGGGTCTGAGACCACTCTTCTTTAGCAGCCTGGAAAGGAACAGGAAATAGCTCAATCAATAAGACCTTCTAGAGGTGCAGAGGTAACTTGGCAGGGAGTACAATTTCTTACCTCTTGGTCACACTCAGCTCTTTGAAGTTATCATTATCCATGTACTCACTGTGATGGTTAATTTTACACATCAACTTGGGGAAGCTATGGTTCCCAGTGGTTTGGCCAAACACCAGTCTATTTGCTGTTCCAAGATACCATATGATGTAATATAGTGTAACCACCTTCCATAATGTAATCTAATGTAATTGATCAATTTGTAGAAAAGGGAGTTTCCTTAGGGTATGTTCTGCCTCCAGATTATAAATAGATATTTTGGCAGAACTCACTCTTTCTCCTCACTCTACATTCTTCCCATCACCTGCAGGAGTATCTTGAGACAATAGCCTGTAGGAGTCTTCAGCCTGTCACCTGATCTACAGATCTGGGACCTCCCAGTCCCCTGCAAAGACGTGAGCAAATTCTTTGAAATAAATCTTTCCTTCTTTCTTTCCTTCCTTCCTTCCTCCCTCCCTCTCTCTATATATATATATACTTATAAGGCTATATCTCACTAGTTCTGTTTCTCTAGAGAATCCTGATTAAGACACCCACAACAACCTCAGTGTCACAAAAGGAGGATTGATTACAAGGATCTAAAACCGAAACCGAAACAATTCAAACTTAGTTCAAGCCCTCACAAAAATAATGCTGTATCTGAAGATGTGTGGAGTTCAAAACCATGTCTTCCTTTCCTTAGGAGAAAAGCGAGGTTTAGGAAATCAGAAACAGGCACTGTGAATTGGGAAATCGCTTGGGTCTGGAAGTCTCTCATCCAGGTTCCGTCTTAACATGTTTCTCTTTCCTGAGAAAAGAAGCTGAGGTTACCAAATATTCACCACACTGACAGAGAGTCTGTGTCCTGGCCAGGACGCTGAGGCTACAGAGAACAATTAAAGCATGATCTTGACTGATGACTATAAAGAAAGGACTTCCTGTGTTGTGTTCTCCTAGGATCGAATGTAGAAAGGGAAGTCCTTTCTGACCGTAAAGTTCACCATTTTGGACCGTCTGCATTGACAACCTGTAAAATCTTGGCTTAACAGAATTATTTAAAGTCATGAAACATATTTTTACAGGCAATTGTGTTAACTAATGTAATACATGCGTGGTATTTTGTTTACTTAAGGTGTAAATGACACCACGATGTACTTCTATTATGCATTCCTCTCCTTTCTTTGGGCTGCATGGTGCTTGGTACATCTCATTTCTATTACATTATCATAGCGGTGTGGCTATTTGTTCATGTTAGTCTCTCCTGGGGGCTTGGGGAGGGCAGGAATGGGCCGACAGGAGTTCCTTCTGGACCCTTCACTTCAACCAGCAGAGAGCCAGGCTAAAAAGAACTAAACAAATGGATAGATGAATGAATGAATGAATGGTATGAATTTGCATGTGGAATGTATACTAAAGAGAGGCACCCAAGAGACACGTTATGTGCTACTTTCCACTTCCAACTAAACAGCTCAGCCCAAACCCTGACCAAGTCCTCATCCCCAAGGTAAGTCTCTCTGAAATCGGACCCCAGTTCCTTGTGATGGGGCCTCAGAGCCCAAGGGCTTAATCAAGTCTTGCACCCCTGAGGCCTCCGATGGGCGCTCACCTTGAGTCCCTGGAAGAGCTCGTAGATCATCTTCAGCCCGCTCATCTCCTTCTGGACTTGGAGCAGCTCTGGGTACATTGTAATGGGAAGATCGAAGAGCTTCTCAGCATTTGCCAGCTCCTGCCGGTTCTTCTCGTGTCTTGTCAGCTCTCTTTCAAAAGTGCCTAAAAGGTCTATTCCTAATAAATAAATAAGCATATAAAGTATACAAAACTGAATAAGGAACCATAAATAACGTACATAAATTATAATCTCATCCACGTCCAGCCGCCTGGGTAGGCAAATTTAGAATCACCAGATATTCCCATCTTCAGACTGACTAAAACCAAAGGGCCAGCGACTTCAGCTTATCCTCCCGTTAGAAAGTTCTGCCTACTTAGCCATCTCTCTCTAAGTGAGGGTCAACCTTCACTACACATCAGAATTGCAACAGGAGCTTTTAAAACTCTTGATGCCCAGATCACCCTCCAGACCAATGGAATCAGACTCTCTGGGGGTGGACCCCAAGCACCAGTGGTTTTTAAAGATCCCAAGGGGAATCCAATGTGCAGACAAGGTTAGGAACCACTGACCCATCCTATCTTCCAACCCTGCTTCCCTGCCTCCTAACAGTAGCATTGAAGGTGCTAAGCTACAGCTGTGGCTGCCACTGTCTCCCGCTATACTCTCATCACTGTGAGGCCTGTGCAGATTTGCCCAGACCCACTCCATCCTCCCCACTAATTTACTCCATCCTGTTACTGGGTACCTTGGAACCCTTCTATTTTGAACAAATGGCCTACACTATTTTCCCCTCTCATTAGCTGTGGTTTGTACCCCAAATCATCAGAATCCTCCAAATACTTGCTAGTTGCCATTTTTAAAATGCCAGCCACCATGTATGACCTTTACTGAGTGCCAACTCTGCGCGAGTCCCCATGCTAAGGAGTAGAGTTTGCAGAGATGAGTGGTGTATTGTCAGACAGGGAAAATGGAGAATGGCCGCCATATTCGAGGGCACCACAACTTACTGTGTAAGTACTGTGTGTTCAGGAACATGCTAAGCACTTTTTCACGTGCCATCTCATTTGATCCTCATTTTAAAAAATGACTGTTATATCCATTTTGCAGAAGTGGTGGTGCTTGAAGGGTAGGGGCAAACAAGAAGTGGTCAAGGATCTAAGTTTAAAGAGTAAGTAAACAGGAGTCGAGCAGTGGGGATATTGGAAGGAGAAGAGGTTGCTTTTAGGAAGGGGAACTCTGGAAGGTAAGATGCCTTAGCTAGAGCACCAAATCTCTGTATTCCCTACAGCACATTTCTCCATGTCTCCATGAAGAAGATGTTCAATTGTCAATGAACTGAAATGGTCTAGCTTTTTGTGTACGTAACCACTAAAACTATCCCAAGAAATGAGTATCTGAGGAAAGAAAAATTAGATATTTAAATCATAGCACAATTACCACTTTCCACAAAATTCTTAACCAAAACATACTCAGATATTTCACTAAGGCCAATGGGAATATTCGTACCTTTATCAAGATCCTCACCGACAGAACCGGGGCCCTCAGTATAAAAACAACTTGCAAATTTCACTACCTGCTGCCTGAAGCTTAAAATTTCGCCTCGCGTGATCTGAGAAAAGCAGGGGCACTTAGTTTAGCCCAGTGAACATTTTTCAACATCTTCACTCAGGAAGCAAAATCTGAAGGGTACCTCTGTAAAAGTTCTCTTTATGCCCCCAAGAGCACGCTCCACATTCACCGAGTCATTGAACAGGGTTGACCACATGCTCTCGATCTTTCCAACCAGCTCTGTCTCTGCATCGGTCGGCTAATAAAAAACAGGACAAACAATAGGTCATCAGCAAATTGGAAGGGAAATTTCAGGCCAAAAGCTACTGCCCAAGAACTTCTGCTTCTGGCAGCTCCAAATGGGTTATAGATCCAAATGTGAAAAGCAAAACTATAATGCTTTTAAAAGATAATGAAGAAACAATTCTTTATGACCTTGAAGTAGGGTAAGATTTTTCTTTACACATGACACAAAAAGCATTAACCAAAAAGGGAACAATAGATAAATGTAAATACATTAAAATTAAGACCTGCTACCAAATGGTCAATAATGACCCTAAAACAAAGATGATAGGGTGAGTGGACAGGGAATTCAGATTACTGGAAGCAAAACATCCAGAAGGGTACTAATGAGAAAGTTAAAACATCGTGAAAAATGTAACCGATGTCTCTGAACGATGTGGCTAATAATTGCTAAATAGGAACCTAATATGTAGTGTAAACTTTCACCAAAAACACACTAACATGGAACAGAATTGAGAACCCAGATGTAAATCCATCCACCTACGGTCACCTGATCTTCGACAAGGGCCCAAAGTCCATCAAATGGGGAAAAGACAGTCT